CCAACTTACAGACACGAGGAGTCCCATCCTCGTAGTAGCTCGGCTGCTCCATGTAAAGGTCTCGGTCCAGCACGCCATGGAGGAACGCGTTCTTCACATCGAGCTGCATCAGGTCCAAATCAAGTGCAGCTGCAATCGCCAGAAGCACACGCGCCGTCACATAGCTTCCCACAGGGGCGTACGTCTCCTCATAGTCCACCCCTGCCACCTGCGTGAACCCCTTCACCACCAGCCTCGCCTTCTCACGCTCCACTATCCCATCAGGTCGGAACTTGGTGTTCAAAATCCAGCGGTTCTTCATCACATTCACCCCTGGCGGACGCGGAACCAACTCCCACGTCCCCTGCTCAATCAAGCTCCGCATCTCCTCATCCATCGCCTCCTTCACCTTGTCTCCCTTCCAGCAGCCCAAGGCCTCCTTCACTGTCATTTTCGCTATGTCCCACTGCCTCTCAGGATCAGCTGCCACGTCCGGGTCCAGGTTAGTCCACTCTTCGTCCTCCTCCTCGTCATCCAAGCCCGCTGGCTCAACCACTACAGCCCAAGCGTATCGAACAGGCGGGACACCACGAGTGATGCGAGTGGAGCGACGCAGTGGTGCAGTGGTCGTCCCAGAAACCAACACACGACCACCATCTCTAATTCCCCACATCTCCTGCTCCCCTGTCTGCTGCTCCCCAATCTGCTGCTCCCCTGTCTGCTGCTCCCCTGTCTCCTGCCCCCCACTCTGCTGTACTCCATCCATACTGCTCTCGTCCTGCAGCTGCTCAGTCTCAAGGCGCTGCCCGTCGGTGATCTCCACAGACGGTGGCACCTCCATCCCCCCCTCACCAACGGGCGGCGCCGTGGAAGACGAAGAAGAGGGCGGAGCAGGTGCAGGAGGGATGGAGGGTGGAAGGGGAGATGGAATAACAGGAGGAGGAGGGGAAGCCAAGGGGGGTGAGGAGGAAAAAGGCGGGGCAGGGGGAATCACACGAGGGTAGACTGAAGGCGGAGGTGGGGTGGGGACCGAGGTAGGGACATAGGGCATAGCAGGAGGTGCGACCACCTCCTCCTCCTCCTCCGCCTCCTCGAGAGTGATCGGGAAGAGTGAGGGAAGGGGCTCATAGGGCATCGAACGCCCCCCATGCTCCTGCTGATGCCAAGCCTTCCATCCTGCTAGGGACATGGTCTCATAGAACACAGCTTCCACAGTGGTGATGAGGCGGTTGGACTCCAAGTCCAGCACGGCCCAGCCCTTGCTCGCAGCTGACACACCCAAGTGCAACCCCCAGCGAGCCTTAGGCGCCAGCTTCCCCCCACGCTGCGACTGTGGTACCATGTACTGCAGCATGCAGCCCCAAACATGCACCATACTGACATCAGGTTTGCGTCGGAAGGCGAGCTCGTACGGCGTCACACCAGAGGGTAGTGAGGCGTGCTCCACGCGGTTGCGCACCCAGATGGCCTGAGCCAACGCCAGGTGCCACCAGTGATGCTGCACACCCATGTGCAGCAACATCGTCCGCACCGCCTCCACAATGCTGCGCATCTCCCTCTCGGCCATCCCGTTCTGCTCCGGCGTGTACGCGCATGTGAGGTCATGGATTATGCCTTTACCGTCGAGGAAGAGCGTGAAGTCGTGCCCCAGGAACTCGCCACCCCGATCAGTGCGCAGCGCCTGCACCGTGGTCTTGCACTGTCGCTCTGCCATCGGGAGCCACTTCTGGAACGCCGCCAGCGCATCACTCTTCTGGGCCAAAGGGTAGGCCCATACATATCGCGTCTTGCGATCCTTCAGCACCAAGAAGTAGCGGCTGCCGTCCTTAGCTGCTTCACGGAAAGGGCCACACAGGTCAGCATGCACCACCCCGAGCAACTCATCCTCCTCCTCTCCCACAGAAGGAAAGGTATGACGAGTTATCTTTCCCCCAACACAGGAGACACAAGGTATGCCTGACTTGCCCCCCTTCTCCAAATCCAAGCCCTTCACTGACCCGTGAGCCGCTGTGCGCTCGATGGCATCAATACCAACGTGTGCCATACGCGCATGCCACAGGTCCCCCTTAGACCGTACGCCGGTCGCCAAGGTACGAAGTGCCACCGTTTCGCCTTCCTGCTGCTGCGTCGAACACGGCTGGAAGTTCGTGCAGAGAACACGCCCCTTGAACTCCGCACGACCAAGGAGCGATCCATCTGGTGCCCGCAGCAAAGTCACATCCCCGGCATCCAGCAGCTGCACACCACTATCACGCAGCTGCCCAACAGAGAGAAGACTCGCCTGCACTCCTGGTACGTACAGCACGTCCGGCACCAAGACACGCCTGCCCCCCTCCCCAAGAAGAGCGACTGTGCCTCGCCCCTGCACCTCCTGAAGGGCGCCGTTGAAGCCGGTAACCTGCTTAATGCTGCCGCCGCTGCTCATCTCCACAAAGGCAGAACGATCTCCCATGAGATGGTGGGAGCATCCGCTATCAAGCAGCACGACGCTCGGGTTCGCCTTCACAGCAGCTGCAACAGCCTGTAAGCCCTCCCCGGCCTCAGGCTCTAGCACAACGAGAGGAGTCTGCTCCACAACTGGCTTCACCATCGCACATGATGACTGCCCGCTCCCCTTAGAGCCATCACCCCCCTTTCCGCTGCTACCTCCAGAACCCTCTCCACCGGTGTCTGCCTCCTTATCCGCCCGCTTCTGACAGTACTTAGCAACATGCCCTATTTGTCCACACACATAGCACTTCCCCTTGAAGCCCCCTTTCCCCCCCTTCGGCTGGCCATCCTTACCCCCTTTCCACTTCTCCCCTCCCCCACCAAGCCCACCCCCATTCTTAGGCTGCTGCTGCTGTGCCGTAGTGGGAGGGGAAGGGGATGAAGTCTGCTGGAAATAGGGCTTACCCTTCTTGGTAAAAACCTGGTTATCCTGGGGAAGAAACTGGTCCTTCCGTCCCTCTGCCGCCAACGTACACTCCTCCTCGATGATGTAGCTAGCGAGGGTGTCCTCGTCCAACTCCTTGCGCACCTGCGGCAACTTCAGCATCCTGCGTAAGAGGTTGTACTGCTGCGGCAACCCCTTCACAACGTGAGTGATGTACGACGCCTGCGAGTAATCTACGCCGGCCATCCTCAGGTTCACTAGGATCTGCTGCGCACGGTTGCAATAGGACGTAGCGGACTCGTGCTCTCCCATCTCGAGGTTAGTGAGCGCCTGCTCTAACTGACCGATGTACAGATCGTCCTTCGCCATGTACGTGCGCATAATAAACTGCCATGCCTGATAGCCGGCATCGACCTTCATGCGACACGCCTTAAGGGCGATCTGTACGGTTCGGGAGCAGCATCGGGAAATGGTGGTGAATGTCAGCAACTGCATCGCGCGGAACTGAGAGAGATGCGCAAGCGCACGCGCTGGTGGAATGGGGGTGGTGCCATCTATGAATCGCTTTAGCTGAGCGATCTCAAGCTGCGGCTCGATTGATTCTGTCCACGTCGACACGTCGTGACGTCCTTCTAACGGCCTAGTGACAACGATCTTGTCTGGAGTGAATCTGAAGTAGCCATAGTTGGGGGCTATTCCCTCGTCCCTCGACATCGATCCAATCGGGGTAACGCCCGGCATAGCCTCACTATCGAACTCTTCCGCAATTCCTCCTCCAGCAACGCTCCGCCGTCCTACATTCGCATGCTCTCGTGACGCTGCTGCACGATGAACACGCTCCTGTACACCGCCAACGCTAGCCGTACTAAACCGAGTTGGTCCTCGCAGGACCCCACGCGACATCAACCCATCAAACTCCTCGTCATCGCTATTTCCGCCATCGACAGCCATATCCCACGCACTAGTACCTCCCGCAACTTGCTCAACATTCTCTACACGTGGCGAAGGGTGCTCACGACGCCGACGCGAGCGCAATCCCTCCAACATTAGCTCGTATTCGATATCACTAATCTCACCACGAGAATGACGAGCCACGAGATCCTCCTCTAGGGCGCGCAAATTACCGGCCTCCACGTTCGCCTCCTCTGTACTCATCCTCTACGACGTCTCTATAAGGTACCACAAATTAAAATAAAGTGCCCCTTCCTTAAATCCCTCGTCTCGGGGTCACCTCACAAGGGTCCTCAGACGAGTGGTAATAAATTACCAAACGCCCTATCCTTGGGTCCGAGAACGTAACTGGAGGGAAATCAAGAGAGGTTCAACTTAGATTAATAAGCGCCCTTCACTAACGCCGCACGCCAAGGCGAGTATACGAACGCGAATATCAACGACGACAGAAATCTATGCGTGTTCGTTCCACGCTCACCGCACCATGAAGGAATATATTAGAGAGCGTAGCGATAGCGAGAGAGTCTCTGCTATGGGAATGATGTTGCGCCAGCAACTTGGTAGAGTTTTGGTAGCGTTTGCCTCTAAGGACTTTGTGAGAATTGAAGTAGCATTTGGGCCAAGTAGAATTGCAATATCAATTATCAAACACACAAGCAAACACAAACATATATAGGCAAGCAAGAGTTGCACAATTGTTGCGTGGCGCTGCGAGTAACCCAACCCACACGAAAGTGCTGTGCAGGTGGGTGAACGCGCCCCGCACATTTCCAACCCAACTCGGCACCGAAATGTCTCACCGTGCACGCTACTCCTGCCAACACAGCAAGTGAGCAGCGTGCCTCACAAGCAAGGCACCTACGACCCCCAAGACTCGTCATTCCTAGCACCGATTCCGCCGAGTTCGCTGCAGTAGCTCACAGTCACCCGTAGTCACTAATGACCGCCACCGAACTCGTGCGTCGGTGCCGAGTAGACTCAGTCGTTAGGCGCCGACCTGCCAAGTCAAAGGTCATCGAGGGCCCTTGCTGTCGTAGGGCCCTCTAACATTTCCCTCCCCTCTTCCCCCCTTTCCCCATCCCCTTCCCCATTCCCCAGCAGCGCCCGTCAAGCCTCCCCAGCGCGCATGGAACTGCACCATTTCCCGCGGAATGTGGGTGCCTTCCAGAAAGCTTCCGAGGTACAACGGCGCATCATGTCCGTTCATCCGGTCGTCGCACAACTGTCGGCGGCAGGGACGGACGAACTTCGACTATCAAAAGCTGCAGTGGTGGGTAAGTCGGATTGTGGGTTATTCTCATAAGGTGGACGGCAAGTGGTAACAGCAGGGACAGCCGGAGCGGACAAATTTCGACTACGAGAAGCTACAGTGGCTGGTGAACCGGGTCTGACAAGGGTGCTGGATCAACTCTTGACAACAGTGGCAGCCAGGACGGATGGACTTCGAGCATCAGAAGCAAAGACGGGGAGTGGGATGGAGTGCATGGATGCTCTGAGCTGAGTCAGTCTCACAACAGCTGCGGGGGCGGACGGGCTTTGAGCACCAGAAGCTGCAGGGGCGGAAGAGTGGAGTTGAAGCTTGGAGTTATTCCATAGTCACAACAGCAGCGACAGCAGGGGCGGACGGGCTTTGATGGTGGTGGAGATGGTGGATTCTGCCTAGAAATACCTCGCGGACTCAGTAGGGGGATCAACTTACCTCCGTCTCTTCAAGCTTCCCCTCTCTCCTCCCTCTCCCCCCCTCTCCTCCCTCTCCCCCCTCTCCTCTCCTCGCTCTACTCCCTCTTTCCCCTCTCCTCCCTCTTCCCCTTCTCCTCCCTCTCCCCCCTCTCCTCCCTCTCCCCGCATATGTAGCCATTACGGTGCACCATACAAGCTGGTGCTGGTGCTGGGAGATTCTGACTGTAACGATATCAACCCATCTGCACCCCTCTTCCCACTCCCCACCAGCCCATTGGGTGCACAATACAGCGCTTAACACCAGTTCGTCTTTTGAGGCGCCTCAAAAGGGATCAATCATCCTCACTCTCCTCACTCTCCTCACTCTCCTCACTCTCCTCCGTCCCCTCCTCTGCAGCCCATTGGGTGCACGGTGCAACGCCTCACTCCAGCGCGCCTGGTGCAGCAGTTTAAGAACAAGCTGGTGGTGGTGCTGGGGGACTCGGTCTCCAAGAACCTCACCAATTTCGTTTAAGGTATCAAACAAACTCAATCTCCCCCCACTCCTCCCTCTCCCCTCTCCCAGCCCATAGGGTGCACGGTGCAGCGATTAACCCCAGCGCGCCTCGTGCAGCAGTTCAAGAACAAGCTGGTGGTGGTGCTGGGGGACTCGGTCTCCAAGAACCTCGCGGATTCAATCAAGTGCACGCTGCATGCTGCCACTCCCCGCTCCATTAAAACGTTCCGCCTTGCCAGCGGAAAAACAGAGCTTGCAGGGACGTGGGTGAGTGAGTGAGTGAGTGAGTGAGTGAGTGAGCGGGTGAGTGGGTGAGTGTGTGTCAGATGCATTGGTGGGTGAGTCAGTGTGTGTGAGTGAGGGCGTGTGAGAGGCATTGGCGGCCGAGTGAGGGTGTCAAGTGCACGCTGCATATAGAAACACCCCAGTCCATCAAGACGTTTCGCGTTGCCAGTGGAAACACAGAGCTCGCAGGAACATGGGTGAGTGTATGAGGCTTTTGTCCGTGATTTAGAGTGTGTGAGAAGCATTGGTGGGTGAGTGAGGGTGTAAATTGCACGCTGCATGCCGCCCTGTCCTGATACATCGAGATTTTCCGCTTTACCAGCTGAAAGACAGAGCTTGCAGGGACAGTGGTGAGTGTATGTGGCACCGGATTGTGAATGAGTGTTAGTGAGAGGCATTGGTGGGTGAGTGAGGGTGGCAAGTGCACGCTCCATGCTGCCCCCTGGCCTGTTCCAACAAGTCGTTTCGCCTTGCTGGCGGAAGACGGAGGTCGCATGGACATGGGTGAGTGAGTTGGTGAGTGTGTAGGGCGTTGGTGGGTGGGAGAGTGGAGTGAGTGTGCGTCAGAGGCATTGGTGGGAGAGAGAGTGTGTGTGTCGTCTGGTGGGTGAGTGAGAGTCACACCTGGGTAAGTGAGTGTGGGTGATTGAGATGCACCGGTGAGAGAGTGAGCGGCATCGGTGGTTGCGTGAACCAGCCTGTGTTGAGAAAGAGCTTGCAAGGCAGCTGGGTAAGTGAGTCAGGCAGGTATCTGTGGGTGTGTGGGTGTGCCAAACAGTGAAGTAGAGCTGTCTGGCACCTTGGTGAGTGGGTGTCTGTGAGTGTGTAAACCAACCTGGGGGTTTGAGTTTGCCTTGATTGTATACACTCTTGCTGTTGTTCTTCAATCGCCACTTTTCTGTTTGACAAGGGTTCACTTCACACCTTTTTGATGGTGCAACTTTCTCAACCCTACCTCTTCACCCCCCTCCCAACCACACCACACCAGCCCCATTCCTCCCTTTAACCCTATCCCTCCCCCACCCTGCCCTCCATCCCCGTCATTAGATCCCTCGCTACAACATCCGGTTCGTGTCGGTGTTCTCAACGCACCTCAACAACGCAACCTCCCTGGAGGGCCAACCCAACGCTCAAGACATCAAGGCGCTGTCGCAACAACCCGAGAGCTTGGAGTCAGTTGGAGGGAGGAGCACGGATAGGAATGGAACAGCTGAGGGGATTGCAAGGAGCGCTAATACGGTGGAGAGGATTGAGACGATGGCCAATCAGCAGTCGCAGCGGATCGATCTGGACCAATTGGATCCACGCGTTGTGGATCTTCTGCCACTCGCTGATATCATCATTTTCCAGGCAAGCTGCCTTTGGGAGTCATTATGGAGTAGACCACTGTGACCATTTTCCAGGAAACCTGCTTGAATTGAACTCATATGGTGCAAGAAAAAATATTAGCTTTTGGGTCGAATTTCACTGTCCCAACCAGCCCACCGTGGCATTCTTGCAGGCGACCAACTGGTGGTACTCCCCCTCCAACCAATACTACCTCAAGAACCGCCGAGTCAACTCATGAGGTGCCACAAGATTTGCCTGTCTGTCCCAATCCACCATTGCACCAATGCAGGCGACCAACTGGTGGTACTCCCCCTCCAACCAGTACTACCTCAAGAACCGCTGAGTCAACTCATGAGGTGCCACAAGATTTGCCTGTCTGTCCCAATCCACCATTGCACCAATGCAGGCGACCAACTGGTGGTACTCCCCCTCCAACCAGTACTACCTCAAGAACCGCCGAGTGAACCTGACTCACAGCAATGCATACGCCATCGGTCTCACCACGCTCAGGAACTATGTCACTCGCTCGGCCCTAGCGGCTGCTCGCGGCTTGAAGGGGTTCAAGGGGAAGGTGGTGCTGCTGGGTGCTTCGCCCTCCCACTACAATATACCCGTGCCGGGGGTCAAACCGGGGTTCTGTGAAGTGCAGGAGATGATGACGCTGCCGCAGGTGAGCAGTTGGGGGTGATGACTTGGCATGTGGTGAGCGGATGGGGGGATGACGTTGCATGTGGTGAGCGGATGGGGGGATGGCGTGGCATCAGGTGGGTCATGCCTGCCAGAAGAAAAGAGGATGACATCCTGGGTTGCAAGAAGTGGAGAGTGCAGATTCCCTTAGAAATGTCCCCTGTCCATTCATTCCTACCATCTGATTCTCTCCACCCATCCCCCACCAGAGGTTTCTGTAGTGCATTTTCATAAAACCATTCCTCCCTTTGCAATGACCACAACTCCCTGTGGTAACCCCATTCCTCGACTGCAGCAACCCAATCCACACTCAGAATTCTTGCTTACTTATTCCTCTCCGTTGCATTCCCTTCCCCCCTTCAGACAGTTGACTTCCGCAGAAGCGATGTGAAGACCAATGTGTTCAGAGAGGTGCAGAGGCGCGTGCTGAGGGACTCGGTGATTCGCTACGTGGACGTGGGGCCAATGAGTGACTGGCGCCCAGACGGGCACCTGCAGAACTGGATAGTGTCAAGTGAGTTATCTCGTCTGGTCTACATGTATTTAAAAAATTGCACTGGCTCTGCAAATCGGGACATGAATGTGGGCTGGTGTTTGATTAGCAGACCAATGGTAACTGAGGATGTGTGGCTGAAAAGGAAAACGTGTTGCAGAAAAAGTTGATATGTTATGGGTGTTTCATAACCCACTCTTATTGTGCTTCCGGTTCACCCTCGCAGGTGGCTCAACCAAGAAGAATGACTGCTTGCACTGGTGTGAGGCTGGGGTCACAGATGCGTGGCTGGAGATGGTCCATAATACACTACTATTCTGACAAGCAGTGTTGCTGTTACACAAACGAAGGCGGCTGAAAGGAGAGTACAGTAGCGAATTTAGCCTATAGGCTCTGCAGAGCTCGTTGTACAGAGTTGGAAAAATCAGAAGATTACTTCCACTAGCATGCTGAAGTAGTGTAGCAACAATTCCTTATCCCCTCCCCAGTAGCAGGCTCTATTGGAACTTGTAGTGCATATTGCCAAATATATATTGTGATTGTAATCAAACAGATGAACCAGTGCTGGCTTCTGTTGATGCCAGTAAAAGGTTGCTGGTTATTGCCTGTTAGTGAACGACCTAGGGTTAGGAGGGGGGAGCGCCACGACATGATTGAATGGGACAGTTCTACGAGGCACGCCTTCTACACCCTCCTCTTCATCATCGTCAAACTCCAATGAGTAGCTGCAGGCACAAACGAAAGGGCAAGTTAAAAGCAACAAGAAAATAATAAAGATTTGAACAGGTGTTTAGACTGGTTAGGCCAGGTTTTGTGTACAAGCTTGACTGAAGAGGGGTGCTAGAGAAAGGTCAGTGTGACGAGTTTGTAACATGAAAGGGAGGGACGGTAAATGGAACGTGTGCAGTATCTTACTCGTCGCTTTTCCGCTGTTCATGTTGCCATCCCACCATACGGCAAGAAAGCGTTCCAAATCAGGCAGGGACAGGGCATGGGTTGGTGAGGAAAGCAGAAGAAAGAGGCTGGTTAACAAGAAAAACTGTGGTGGAAGCAGGTTACAATCCAGGTATGTTACCATCCACAAGGCCGGAATAAATGCAACGGAAGGAACTGAGGCGCATGGTGATCAGAACGATGTAGCACAAAAAGGTCAACAACTGTTGATTTTGGTAGACGAGGAAAATTAACAGAAATAGATCAACCTGGCTCCAGATAGCGCCTACCTTGCGTGGTTGCCCAACCACTGTTGCTTGATAAAGTGCAGTGGTGCTGGGGAAAACCGCCAGCACCCTGGAGCCAGGAGGGAAGTCGGAGGCTGACATCCACTCGTTGCGCTTGTGGAAGGGGATGATGCAGGAGCCAGACAGGCGGTACTTTCTGAAGTTTTGGAAACATTGGGAAATGTTGTGGGTGAGCACTACGGGGATCACTAACTTCATTTTTGGTTGCAAATTGCATTGACTGTGAGCAAGCTTTACATGTCAGTGCCTTTTTATTCTGTGCTCACCTTTGACCACCCTCGTCCTCCTCTCCTGGTTCCTCATCGATCACATCAAATCTGCAAAGAAGGTAAACACGTAAGAAGCTACGCATAACAACAAAAAGGAACCCCGGAAGTTAGAACAGTCATCCCATTTCTCCATGAAAACGGATATGGCTCTCACCTGTTCGCTTCCCGGTCAATGCGGAGGACCTTTACGACAATCCACTCATCCTTGCCATCCTCAGTGGCAGACACTCGTGCTGCGACCTGATGTTAAAAAAGAAGACGGGAGAGAGTCTAACACCAGACAAGAGAAAATCCACACCTAGATTGCGTTCAGTTGGATTTCCTTATCCCTGTAGCAAACCTTCAGACCTCACCTGTTCTCCCACCACAACCCGTGTCAGGGCAACTGCAGACGCTGCAGAAGCGCCATCATTGAGGCCAGAAGCAGATGAGGTCAGCCCTAGAGAATTTCCTGGACCACCATCCCCACCAGCTGCTCCGTCAGCAACTGGAACTGTGCGTTGGCGCTTCTTCCTCCCACCTTCCAAAGGACCATCTGAACACCAAGGGAACGCAGAGGAAGACGAGACGCGGAGAAATAGGTAACAACCACGGCTGTTGTTTCTTTCAAGTGATACTGCACAGAGTGATTAGAAGAGTGTGATACATACATCTCACTATGCAAACCTGAATGTCAGGATAGATTCCCGAACATTGAACATGCGATTGCAAAGACCTGCCTGATTTCTTTTTGGTTCCGTGCGGAGCTGAAATGGCTGAAACTTGAGATGGGTCGAGTTCTCTGATGCAAGAGGTACAGAGACTGGAACGGGGAAGCAGAAACGTACGAAGCTGAAGACAGATTAGCAAGTACTCAAAGTTCATAAGAGGATGACATGAGAGGTAACGCGCTTTCATGCATGACGGAAAGCGAGGGCGCAATGCAAATGTACGCACCTTTCTTCAAGATCTGCAAGGCGTTTGGCCTCCACGTAGAATCCTCGTAGCTTTATCCACAGCTTCTCTCCAAAGCGTTCTGCTGTCTCCCGCGCTGAACTCGCTCAAAAGGATGGATGGCACACACACGAACAAGTTATGAGCCAATAGTAGGAGCCTTCTACGCATGAGAACGACGCCCATTACGTACGGGTTTGGCTTAATTTAGAGTGTATTTTATTTATCTTCTTCACAACAACGTCCTGCTCCCGTCGAACGCGATCCAATTCGCGAAATTGCTGGACAACTGATTCAGGAAGTGGTGTTGCTGTGGCAGCCATGAAGCGGCAAGTCAGTTGATAATGTCCAAGTTTTTGACCCAAAAATGCGGCGGCGGCCAGTGGAAAGCAGCAAGTGCGCAAATGTGCTTCCATCAATATTTGGGAGAAGCGGTACAGTACACACTGTAGAAAAAACATTCTGGCTCGAGCGAATCTGGTTACTGCGAATTCCGATGTTCAGCACTTTGCTTCAACCACATGAAGCGACAATGATTCAGCGAAACTCTTTGGTAGCAGAAGCGGCCTTCAGACTCTAAAGTGGTTACATCCACGGGCTCGACGAAACAATGTGGTTACATATGCTCGTTCAAGTAAAATGGATCTAGCAATCCCAACAATACTCACACAGCAGCCTGACAAGTCACAATGGCCCTCGTTGCGGGTTGAAATTTCGTCTTCATCATCACAACCAACATTCAAGATAGAAATCGTAGACATACTAGTAGGCTCCCTGTGTCATGGCTGGGATCAGGGATGGTTCTCCCGTCTCTAGTAGACAATGGCCTCTTGTTACTTTCCAAAAGCGCGAAAGAATTGTCGTGCTTATTCTCCTTATGCTGGTTTGTGGAGTGTGCTACCGTCTGTCCTTATTTCCAGCGGGAACTGGTTCATGGCATCGCCGGCTATCCTGGAAATCAGGAAATAGCATAGAGAGCATTGCGGATCATGCAGGCGTCCTTGCCGTGACACCAGGAGGTCAATATCACTCATCTCTCGTTATGCATAATGAAGTCCAATCGTGGCAGGTAAACAGTCCGCTTCCGAGCTCATTTTGGCCCTTGCTTCTGATGGGGGACATCTGATCCTCGCATTCATCAGGCACCCGAGATCGCTTTTATTGCTAATCAAATGATGAAACAATATGGAAGACTCGACACCAAGGCCAAAAAGGATTGCAAGTTAATTCGAGACACTAGCGCGGTGCTGTGGAAGAATCACTCCAACTACGACGTTTTGACGCGGTGGAGGTCTCCTGGCATTCCAGGCTCGTTCTTCGACCACGCAATTAGCTTCAGATATAAAAGGATGGAAGGTGTATCGCCTCGGCTGAAAAATTATCAGGCAAGAAGCTAACTTGGCCAATGTTTATGCGGTGACATGCATTGTTACTAACGCGTGGCTCATCCTTTCAGTGCCGACTTCTTGTCAGAGGACAAGACTATGAGGCTCTCAGGCGCCTACCAGTGGTACAGTCTATTCCCTTCACCGACCAGCAGAAAATCGGTCCAGTGTTCAAGGACGAAAATTTGCATATGATTGCGGTGGTCTTCCCTCAGGTGTGTGACCATTTGCTTCTTCGTTCTAATGTGATCTAACGTCTTAACTAAGCCGTTTTCCCGTGTAGTACCATGCATTCAAAGAAAATGATTTGTTTTGGGGAACAAACTTCACCGAATGGACAAACTTGAAGCTGGCATATTATAACCCGTGGAACTTTCAACCCATCAAACATCCTATTGAAGCTTACGGAGGTTATTATAACATGCTCGGCCATTCCCAACGGTCAAGAATGGGAAAGCTGGCAAGGTTTTATGGCATCCACGTGAGCATAGCACACAATGTTACAGTTGTTTTGTGTTTTCTTTTCTCTTGACCCACCTGCAGAATTTGATTACGTTTGCAGGGCTTCGCATTTCATCACTACTGGTTTGAGTGCAACACTGTATTTATGGAGTCGGTCATTATGGAAATGCTGAAAGATGGACAGCCAGACCTCCCGTTTATGCTCATTTGGGCAAACGAAGCCTGGACACGGCATTGGACTGGAGAGACAGGCGAAATACTTCAGTCACAGGTAAAAGAAATCTTACCACAACGAGCTGCACGGTGTGAGGCAAATATACTCAGTTCATGATCCTTTGGTGCAGAGCTACGGGAATGAGACATGCTGGCGGTTGCATTTTCAGTGGCTGCTACCCCTTTTCAAGCACCCTAACTACGTAAGAGTCAATAATAAGCCGGCTTTTGGTATCTACATCGTCCCCCTTATCAAGGAGCTGAAGCCAATGCTGAAGCTTTGGCGATCACTCGCTAAAGAGGAAGGTTTGCCTGGCCTCCATATTATCCAGTGCCTGGGCCATAAAGACACAGGTGTTTCTCGAAATGTCAATGCTATCATGGAGTATCAGCCCAATCTGAAAAAGGGGCGGATGAAGACTGAATCTCCAACAAAAAGGCTGCACAAAGCTCATTACCGGGGGGAGTATCTTGGTTGGGACAACTTTCCAAGGCACAACCTCGACCCACATTTTGTCGTTGGGGACCTTGATGATGATCCTGTTCATGTGGAGGCAAGGCTGGAGGAGAGATTCAGAATCGCTCGAAATGATGCGAACAATGGATCGACCCCCAACCTCTTCCTCCTCACTGCATGGAATGAATGGGGAGAGGGGAACGTGCTGGAGCCAAACAACATTTTTGGGTAAGTTGGTTTGTTTTCTCTACCACGTATGCTAATAAATCATGTTAGCCTGACCTTACACTTTCCCTGTGCAGGTACGGAAACTTGAATGCAGTTGCACTGGCGTATGAGAACAGCAAGAAGGAAGCCAGCAATGACATTGACATTCTGAACAAGCTGCACGAATCTATGGATGAGTGCAGATTGAAGCTGGACATTCAGTACTACGTCGATCTTGCTGGTACAGACCTCTTTCATCTACTGAGTGGTCCTGAACCGGAAATGAGGGTAATTGAGAACTGGCAGACAGAAGGCTTCAACAAAGGCAGAGAGTTCAGGCTTGTGAGCGAGCTGGAGGATGCTGCTTGCACTGGAAAAGTGCATTGTCAGTTTCTGTGCGGAATGACTTTGGACAAACACATGGTAAGATACTTGTTGGAGGTGGACAGTGACAACGTTGGGCGATACAACGAGAGCTCTTTGAGTGAGCTCAGATGGAAATAAGACGCTTGGAATGCATCATGCGTATACGTGCTAGAGATTGGTTGTGTGTACTTTAACATGTACTTAATCACAAGAGTCTTCGCTGTTCGTAATGAAAAGGTTTTACTGGTTTTTTTTTACGTAGAACTTATAAAGATATTGCAGTTTTAGAACACTAAGAGGTACACTATGACGTGAGATGGTTTTGGGTGACCTAAACATCGCTTCACACTTCCGGAACGTGAGTTTTTGAGAAACAGCAAAGCCACAGCGGTATCGCAAGTTAAAAGTTGACCACACCGCTTGTCTCAAACCAGATCAAGTTGCAGTGTGCGCTATTTCCTTCACCGCGCTCTCCTGTAATCTCGCACGATGCTTTCTTCGCTAGATGCAGCGCTCGAATCAGTGTCTGGTAGGACGTCATGTTTTGAACTTCGGTAGCTTTAGCCCTTATACGCTTTCGATTTTCGTGTACCCTTTTCTACATTGACTCTTTTTTGGCTCATGCGTCGGATACGTGCTCTTTTTGCTTAGCTGCGCCTCGTACACTACGTCCTCCTTAACTTCTTCCTCTTCGCTTGCTATTGCAGGTCCACGAACAGCTGCCTTTCAGCCGAAGCTCAAGCCTCGCGCTAGGAAGGGAGGAGCTGGCGGAGGGGCGGGTGCTGAAGCAGCTGTGCCCACAGGACAATCTGGCTCAGCAGCCGGTCCATCAGGACGGCACACTGCTCCAGCGGGAAATGTAGGGGGTGCTGCGCAGGCGGTAGCGCCACCTGTTCGCGCTACAGCCGCTGCAGCTGCTACCGTCCCATCTGGACGAACATCAGCATCAGCGCAACGTCCTCTTCCCGACGCCCCGGCTTCCGGTCCACAACTTCCCTCCCGGTCTGCAGCGCCAGAAGCTCTTGGTCTTTCCTCACCTGCGCCGTCCCTTTCGGCAACAGTAATAGCCAGGGAGACTCATCAAGCAGAAGGGTTAGGTTCGGTTCAAGGGGGTTTTGACGCCCCTTCCAGAACTGCCACTGCTGCTCCTTCCCCTGCCGCAACAGCAGCCACTGGTGCAAGAGCGTCGTCTGCATCTGCCCCTGCTGCCCCTCCAATCGTTCCCTCCTCACGTGCTCCTACCCTCCCCGCTCCTGACACGTCTGCTCGTCCCCCTCCGCGTGCTCCTGCTCCTGCCCTAGAAAACGGTCCTCATATAAATGCCGCGCGTTTAGCCCATACTGCTGCTGCCCCTAGTGCTGCGCCTGGCACTGCCCCGGGAGCAGCAGAAGTAGCAGTGCGGGGAAATGGGAGAGGGAGGGAGAAGGAGAAAGGGGTATCTGGGGCTGATAAAAGCCAAGGCGTTATTGGGTCGGGAACCAAGGGAGTGTTCTTCCCACACTCGTTCCGGAAAGGAAAAAGGCGTAAGTATCTCTGACTAAATCCTGAACCCTCAACCTGAAGCGCTAGTAACCCCAAATCAGGATTCATCCGTCGACATCCTGGCATGTGCAACAAGGCATGCTGCGACTTTGCACCATCCCGCTTCCCATTTAACCTCACAGGCCACGCCCGAGCTGCTGACAGCAGAGGGCCTATTCCCATTCCCGCTGCCCTTCGCTCTTCCCCAAAACCCCCCAACACCCCTCCCGCTCCCCTCTCTCCCCTCTCTCCCCGTGACCTCTCGACACACCAGGGTCGCAAGTGACTCCGGAGCTGCTAGCAGCGGAGGACCTGTCGGGCTTCACCATCCAGCAGATCATTCAGCGCTCCGAAGTGCTCGACCGAGAGGTGAGAGAGCGAGGGGCTTGGATCAAGTTTTGCAAGCTTGTGGAGTTGCAGTATCAGGAGGCGGCGCATTGGTCTTTGAGTGGAGACTCTTTTTGTGTTTGGTTTGGTTTTAATTTACTGTTCTCCCTCACTCATTCACCCCTCCATCCTCCCACACCCGCCTTTCCTGCTTCCCTACCCTTCCATCCTCTCCCCTTCCCCAACCCTGCCATTCCCCTCGCCCTCACTCTGTGCGCAGAAAGAAAAGGAGGAGCAGGAGAAGAAGCGGATAGAGGAGGAGGTGGAGCGGAACAGAAGGAAGCTGGCCAGGAGGCGAGGCGAGGAGGTGCTTGATGGCAGTGAGAGGTGCGTGGGGGAGGGTGATGCGGGGAGGAGTGGTATTGAAGGGTGATGTGGAGAAAGGTTGGGAGGGTTTATTTGGTGTGGTAATGTGAAAGGGGTGGGTTGGGGATGTTGCTGTTGAGGGATGGGTGGTTGAGGGGAGAATAAGTGAGATGTTTGGACAGGTGGAAGGGGAGAGACAAGCAGGGTGGTGGGGAGGAGTGTGAGAGTGTAGAGGGAAAGTTATATTTTTTTGCGGCGTTAAAAGGAACGAAAACAGTTTCTTTCTGCATGTCCTCCCATCCTCCTACCCCCCACCCACCAGCCCCGGCGCCTCTGCACCTGCCAGCAACCCCCCACCCAGCAGCAGCGGCGGCGGCGGTGGGGTATTCGCTCCCCAGGTGACAGTGATAGACGGGCGCATTGTGGTGAACGAGGCGAGTCTCACGGTGGACGCGCAGGGGGGGAGGGACGATGCGATGGAGGGGTACAAGCGGGTGGAGGAGAGCTCAGCGCGGCTCAACTATGGCACGCATATGAAGAGAGAGAAGAGCGACCGGTGGAGCGTGGACGAGACAACCCAGTGGTACCAGGTGGGTGGCTGTTTTCATGCGCCAAGGAAATCGTTTCAAACCTGTGAGGCTCAACCATGGGCACCAGCAGTTCAACCGTTTGTCACGGACTTCTAGATGCTGCAGCTGCTCTTTTTCAAGCTCTACTCCTCCTTCCCTCGTGCCCTCCTCTGGTACTCTTGTGTTTGCCTCCAGGCTCTCCAGCAGTTCAGCACGGACGTTGAGATGCTGCACTGCAGGTGCTCTTCCCTAAGCCCCTCCCCTCTCCTTTGCTGCCCCTGCCTCCTGTAATGCTTCCAGGCGCTGCAGCAGTTCGGAACGGACTTTGAGATGCTGCAGGCGCTCTTTCCTAAGCGATCTAGACGGCAGATGAAGGCCAAGTTTAAGCGGGAGGAGACGCTGCACCCACACCTTGTCACTCATGCGCTCACACACCGATGCACAGGTGGGTCGCACAGGGTTGCAGTGTAGTATATCTTTAAGTGATGCTCTCTGAAGGATTAAGGCCAAGTCCAAGCAGGAGGAGAAGTTGCATCCACACCTTGTTACTCATGCGCTCACACACCGATGCACAGGTGGGTTACAGCTGGTAACGTTTGCTCTCACACACTACTTACTGCACAGGTGCTTTACAGGTAATTACTCTTTATTCACGTGCATGCAGCGACTTCACAGGTTGCTAGTTACACATTCTCTCACACATTGACACACAGCTGTTCGTCACGATTCTCCACCATCCATCCCTTCTGTCTCTCATCCATGATCCATCTCATCTTCCATCCCTTCCACTCACTCCTATCCAGACACGCAGCAGTACGAGCGGCTGGCCTCGGCTCTCAACCCCCAGCTGGCACTGCAAGTGAGAGAAACACTGGCCGGCTCCTCTGCCTCTCCTCCCGCTCGTGCCTCTATTGCCGCCACTGCTGCTGCTTCTGCTGGTGCTGTTGCTGTGAGGGGGAGGGAGGAGGCGAGCAGGCAGAGAGTAAGCCGGCGGCAGCAGGGAGGAGCAGTGATCGGAAGGCCCGGGGCGGCCGTTGCTGCTGCCACCGCAGCTGCTGCCAATGCGCTCCATAATATAGTTGCCTCTGCCTCGGCTGCTGCTGTTGCTGCTGCCGGTGGTTCTCTTGCTGGCGCTGAAATGGATGATGGTGCGGGTAACGAGGAGGCTTATGGGGAGGATGAGGGGATGATGGAGGAAGTGGAGATGGAGGAGTGGAGAGCGGTAGCAGCAGAGCCTGCTGGAGAGGGGGAGGAGGGAAGGGCAGAGGAAGCAGGAGTTGGGCTAGAGGAGGCGCATGGGGAGGGAGATGGTGTGGATGGTGGGGAGGAGGGAATGGGTGGTGAAGGTGACTATGGGGAAGGTGATTATGGCGCAGGGGCGGATGGAACAGGGGAGTATGGGGTTGTGACACAAGAAAGCGCTGCTGCGACTCAAGTAGACGGTGACTATGGTGAGGCGGAATATGGGGAGGGGGAGGAGGAGATGGGAGGGACGATAGGGTATGAAGACCCGTTTGCTGCATATGGAGGGGACGGGGAGGTGGAGGAGGAGGAGGATCCTCTGGGTGGGTATGGCTGATGCACTGATGCGTTTCCATCTTGATGCCCAACTTGAGGTAGTCATGGATCATGGAAAATCATGGATCAGATTATGTACGTGCTTCTAGTAATATCAAATAGTTACAGCTGTTTGAACAGTACAACCACCAGTAGGGAAGCTGCAAACTCGTGTTCACACCACCATAGCCCACTCCCCAACACTTGGCTCAACCACTCCCTCGTCCTATCAACCGTTCCTATCCAGCTTCCAACCATGATCATTCAAGCTTTCAACACGATACACATCACTTGCTCCTCCAGCATCTCCCCCTGCCGCTTCACGATTTATGCCCAAGCTGCTTCACCGCTCTACAAACTTGTCTCCTTGGCCGATTCCCTGCCCTGCTTTGCTAATCCAGTCAGAATGCTAAGCTGCTTTCTGTAGCTTAATCAATGTTTTGAAATACCACTCCAGCCCAACAATTCAGATCACTGTTTCACCAATTCAGTGTGCTGCGCTCTGCTGTGCCCTCAAAGCTCTTGCTCGTAGAGACTCCTCATAGAACTCAGACAGGCCGTCGTAGTCACTGCAGGTCGTACATGAATGAAGCAGAAAGCACAGAGCAGATTACACATAGGAGAGGAAAACAACCTCAGTTGAATCCAGAGGCACCGCACAGACAGAAGAAGATCGGGAAAGGTCAAGACATTATCAAGAGAGGGATGACGTGAACTGACCAGAGCTGTGGTAGGGTTTGGCAGCGGTTGACACATCTGCCCTCCCCGACCTCGTAGTTGGCATGATAGATGATCATCTCCCGTATCACATGCTTCGACCACTTGTAGTCATTGTCCCACCGCACACACTGATGGTTGGAGGGTTTGGAACAGCGCGAGAGGGGAGAGGGAAGACAAATGAGAGCTTAACACCGGTTTGATCATCTGCCCTAGCCTAACTGGTCTGTAAGTCAATAGTTGGCATGGTGGATGATCATTTCCCGTATCACGTGCTTCGACCACTTGTAGTCATTGTCCCACCGCACAAACTGCCAATTGTAGAGCGAGTTTGCATCAGCAGGTGGGGAAAGACAGGAGAGAGTTTGGCGCCAGTTGACAAACCTCAGAGTCCAAAGCAGCAGAGTGAGGCAAGAGAGAGCTGGGAGCTGGTTAATGTGGCAGAAGAGCAGAAGCAGCAAGTGGCGCCAACCTCTCAGCGTTACCCTATGTTCCTGCATCCCACCACCTCCCAGTCCCATCTTCCTCTGGAACGGCCTCTTCACCACCTCCCAGTGCCACCTGCCTCAGATACAGCCTCTTCACCACCTCCCAGTGCCACCTGCCTCAGATACAGCCTCTTCACCACCTCCCAGTGCCACCTGCCTCAGATACAGCCTCTTCACCACCTCCCAGTGCCACCTGCCTCAGAAACAGCCTCTTCACCACCTCCCAGTCCCACCTGCCTCAGAAACAGCCTCTTCACCACTTCCCAGTCCCACCTGCCTCAGAAACAGCCTCTTCAACACTTCCCAGTCCCACCTGCCTCAGAAACAGCCTCTTCACCACCTCCCAGTCCCACCTGCCTCAGAAACAGCCTCTTCACCACCTCCCAGTCCCACCTGCCTCAGAAACAGCCTCTTCACCACCTCCCAGTTCTGCTGCCCCTCTGGGCGAAACACAGTTGGGTTCCACAAAGCCGCTCGCGCTGCCATGGCTGATGATGCTCCTGATGGGTGGACGGAGAGGTATAAAAGTGCAGGCAGAGGAGAAGTCTGGAGAGTGAGTTAAGCAGGAGCGAAAAACGCTTCTGCTGCTGGAATGGTGTGCTATATCTGCCATCTGCACCTGTTGCTATAGCCGCCCTTCCCATCTGTTGCTACAGCCGCCCTTCCCATCTGTTGCTACAGCCGCCCTTCCCATCTGTTGCTACAGCCGCCCTTCCCATCTGTTGCTACAGCCGCCCTTCCCATCTGCTGCTACAGCCGCCCTTCCCATCTGTTGCTACAGCCGCCCTTCCCATCTGTTGCTACAGCCGCCCTTCCCATCTGTTGCTACAGCCGCCCTTCCCATCTGTTGCTACAGCCGCCCTTCCCATCTGTTGCTACAGCCGCCCTTCCCATCTGTTGCTACAGCCGCCCTTCCCATCTGTTGCTACAGCCGCCCTTCCCATCTGTTGCTACAGCCGCCCTTCCCATCTGTTGCTACAGCCGCCCTTCCCATCTGTTGCTACAGCCGCCCTTCCCATCTGTTGCTACAGCCGCCCTTCCCATCTGTTGCTACAGCCGCCCTTACCATCTGTTGCTACAGCCGCCCTTCCCATCTGTTGCTACAGCCGCCCTTACCATCTGTTGCTACAGCCGCCCTTCCCATCTGCTGCTACAGCCGCCCTTCCCATCTGTTGCTACAGCCGCCCTTCCCATCTGTTGCTACAGCCGCCCTTCCCATCTGTTGCTACAGCCGCCCTTCCCATCTGTTGCTACAGCTAGATGCTCGTTTCACCTGTTGCCACAGCCACTGCCCTGTTCATGTTGCTACAGCCGTCCTCTTCACCTGTTTCTGCTCGGATTGGTTCGAAATCACTGTAGGAAAAGACGTCGCCATTGGCAATCACAGGGAGCGACAACACCATTGCAAGGAGAGACACCCACTTCCGTTTTCACGGTGCCTATCATTCATTCTCACCTGTGGCTGCTCGGATTGAGTCGAAGTCACTGTAGGAGAAGACATCCCCGTTGGCAATGACGGGGAGGGAGAGCGACGACACCACTGCAGGGAGTGCTACAGCCTACAACTGCCGTTTTCATGTTACTACAGCCGCCATCCTTACCTGTTGCTGATCGAATGGAGTCGAAATCACTGTAGCAGAAGACGTCACCGTTGGCAATGACCGGGAGGGAGGGCGGCGCCACCACTGGTGACTGCTCCAGGGAGTGCTACTGCTGCCCCTAGAGTGGAGCGCTACAGACAGCCACCAACCTCACCTGTGCCTGCTCGGATTGAGTCAAAGTCACTGTAGCAGAAGACGTCACCGTTGGCAATGACCGGGAGGGAGGGCGGCGCCACCACTGGTGACTGCTCCAGGGAGTGCTACTGCTGCCCCTAGAGTGGAGCGCTACAGACAGCCACCAACCTCACCTGTGCCTGCTCGGATTGAGTCAAAGTCACTGTAGCAGAAGACGTCACCGTTGGCAATGACCGGAAGGGAGAGCGACGACACCACTGCAGAGAGTGCTACAAGTGCTTCTTTCGTGTTGCTACGGCTGTTCCCCTCACCTGTCGCCGCTCTAATGGAATCGAAGTCACTGTAGCAGAAGACGTCCCCATTGGCAATGACCGGGAGGGAGAGCGACGAGACCACTGCAGGGAGCGCCTCCCACTGCGCCTTCATTGACGGGCGGTGAGGAACCTTCCTGGAAGGACGCAGTGGAGAACACAGGGGCAAAAAATGGAAGGAGGAAGAATGAGAGTCTTCAGAGTCAACTCTTTGGGTCCCAACTTGGGGAGGAGGAGGGGAAGAGGGAGTGACGGTATCATACTTCCACAAAACCTTACTACCTTGAATGTGTGTCAATCACCTTGCATGTATCCCCCTTTACCTTGCATACCCAGATCCGTATTGCCTGTGCCTTCAACAGAAGCCCAGAGGGCAAGAGGCGAAGTCAAGTGTGCGGAGGGGCGATTCCAGCAGGTGAATCGTGGCTGGGAATAGTGTAGCATGCCCCCTATTAGCCCCCCTTTTTTTTAGTCGACTTAAAAGCAAGTAGAACTTGGCTGGGAATAGTGTACCATGCATGCCCCCTACCAGCCCCCACTTCGTTGCACGCACCCCCCTTCCTTCACCACCCTCCATTCGCCCGTTCACCTTGCATGAATGCCCAGAGCTGAAATGCCTGTGCTTTCAACAGCCCGGGCAAAGTCGAGTGTGCGGTGGGGCGAGTCGAGTAGACGGATCTTGCACGTGACTGCGATGGAGGCAGGCAGGTTGCGACGCAGGGTGGAGAGGATCTGTAAGGGGTTGGGAAGGGTTTGGAAGGGTTTGAGATGAAAGGGGGGCTGATGGTGAGGAAAGGAAAGGATGGCAAGTTTGGTTGGGACGTGATGTGATGATGTGTGTGGGTGGCTGATGCATGGGGTTTGGGGCAAAGATAGCGAGGTCACAATCAGGATGAAATGCGAGGACATGTGGATTTGCACGGGGAACAAACAGAAAAGTAACAGGGAGACAGGTGGCATATTCTTGACTTATGCCATGTGCAATCTTTAACACGGAGAGCAGCCATGCCAGATGCGGTCACATAGTGCCACCCACTAATATCTAAACCTTGGACCCTAAACCTGAACCTTGTAGACTTTAGATTTAAAGCCCAAGGCTTACATCACATGCGTTTTCTGGGCGGGAGAGCAGAGCAGAACCCATGCCACCACTGGTGGAGAAGGGCTTGGGGCACCCCATGTTGATGTCTATGGCTGCCACGTCGTTGCAGCTGGGGGGTGGGATGAGATGAGCCATAAGGTGGATGTTTATGAGATGTCACATGGAGCACAGGGCGAGATGCGACACATGAGATGACGCTTCAGGTGACACTTGAAATGACACATGAGACGACACACGAGTTGATGGATAAGTTGGCACATGAGGTGAGACTAGTGTTGAGGGGCTGAACAAGGGCACAGGGCATAGACAGAAGGCGAGAAGGAAGAGAAGAGAAAGAGGAAGGCACGAAGAGGAGGTAGAGATGATGGAAAGGGTGCTAGAGAGGAGGAACTGACACCATTTCGGCAGCCCTTAAAGCCCGGACAGCATCAGCGGTGCCGATCTGGAAGGCCACTCGCGTCTTCTCTGCCTCACACGTGCGGAACACCACGATGCCCGTGGTGGGTTCAACAAAGTCAACGGAATTCAACACAGCTGGGGGACGGGAGGGGGCGGCGGGGGGGATAAGGTGAAGGAGGGGGGGAAGGGACAGAACACCACGATGCCCGTGCTGGGTTCAACAAAGTCAACGGAATTCAACACAGCTGGGGGATGGAAGGGGGGGTGGGGGAGGAGAGAGGGAGGGGGAGGGGGGGAAGAGAGGGAACACCACGATGCCCGTGCTGGAATCAACAAAGTCAACGGAATTCAACGCAGCTGCAGAATGGGAGAGCGAGGGGTGGGGGAAGGAGAAGAGAGGGAACAACACGATGTCCATGCTGGGACTAACAAAGTCAACAGAATTCAACGCAGCTGGGAGATGGGGATGGGTGGATGCGCAGAGAAGAAAGGAGGGTGGTGCTTGTTTTCCCTGCTTGCCAAGCCAGAGGTTGAGCCAATTGCTGGTTGCTATGAGGAACAGGCCTGACACTTATGCGCAGTGTGGTCTATCACCTCCTCACTGTACACCAACCTCATTACATAAACGCAAAAAACCCTTAATTGCATAAATAAATCACAATTTATATCACTCACAGTTGACCACTCTCTTGCACTGTACAAAGCGGTGGTCGATCACCTCCTCGCTGTACACCATATCCGCGCCACAGTCCAGAGCAAGCAGCCGGAATGCGAGGGTGTTCTGGGCGGCACGAGTGGGAAGGAAGGGTTGGGAGGGGTAAGAATTTTAATCCGCTTAGAGACCCAAAGTTGAAGAGTAGAAGTTCGGGGGAACAATTAAAGCTCGCGTCAGGGTAAAGACGCTTTGGAAAGGGAAAGCTATGGGATAATTAAGAGAAATATCATTCCATTGTAGTACAAATAAGGACCCTGATTGAACGAGCGTCGCTTACCACTCTAACCATGGGAGCGAGGATGTTCATTCCTCTATACGTCAGCTCCCCTTTTCCTAGCGGAGCTTTCCCCATCTCGTTGTAACCGGGTAACCCGGGCGCCCCCACGCCTCCTTCGTACATGTCATCCGTAAACACGTACGCTTCGTCCGCTTGTGGCCCACCGTCAGTTACCATTCCGTCCGCCAAGTTGCCGGTCGTCATGTCAACGGCAGCTCCGTTAGAACGAGTTTCAGATGGATACGCGTTACAAAAAGATGCTCCATCGGACGAGCTAGTGGCGCAGGAGAGCTCAATATCGGGCCTGCTTGTGATAGGAAGAGTCATGGCGACTGGTGTGTGGTTCACGGCTGCAGATACACAGTTACAGTTTCATCGAATGCGCGAATTAGTCCACTTCAACGCAGAGGCTTCTTACTGTTAACGATCTTATGTCGCGAACGCGAACGTAGCAACTGCTTGTTGAAAGAGCAAAAGCTTGACTCGCGAACTTCTGGCTACCTACCAGCCACACTGGCTGGAATTCGAGGTGTGGTGCATTTGCAGCCTCAATGATCATGTTCGACGCCAAAGGCACTGGGTTCTCTACGTTGCGGTACGTTTGATTTCGGTTTTGCGTGATTTTGCTAATTCCACCTTCTACCCCATTTTGACCCCATTTTGATAATCCCACCCAAGCACTCTCCCACCGCCAATTTGCGGCAGCAGATGCTTGTGGCGGAAATTTCTCGAAAACTTGCGGAGCTCCCAAGGTTTGGGAGCACCCGAAATTCACACTACAGAAAGGTTGCGATTCAAGCCACAAGGCCTCACTCAAATGGAAGAATACATATTTAGCTCTATAAACAAATGGAAGACAAAGACTCATACTTCCTCAGCTCAAACACATCCCTAATCCCAGCTTCCTCAAAAGCAGAAACTATTAAACTGGTGATTTTAGGGCTCCCACAAGATTTCCATGAGTACAACCAGGACTACTACAATTCCACTATCTTTGGCTTTCCCTTATTGCTTCTCGAACTCCCTCTTCCCCGACCCCCCTTCTTGACTTGCCCCTTTTTTCTTTTGCCGCCATATCCCCCCTTGTGCTGGCGTGGGTGTATATTCTGCCCCCGACCTCCCTTCTCTCCTCCCACTCCAACATGAAACACCCCACAATCCCCACCAGCCACAGCACCGTCAAGTGAGCAGCCTAGAACCGCTCCCACACCCCCACTTCCACCTGCACTTCCATCTTCCCCGTCCTCCTCCATCGCTACACACCTGTCTCCACCGCCCAAGCCATCTCCCTCATGCGCATCAGCCCTTCGTATACCACCCTGATTCCCACCATCATCACCATCAGAATCTTCACTCTCTGATTCTAGTTCTGAGTCAGAATCGCTGCTACAAGCCTCGCCCTCCTCCCCTTCCCCCTCCCCTCTGCCCACAGAGCTCCCCTGTCCGGCCCCAGACAAAGCCCTCTCTGCTGCCGCCACGGCATCTGCCGTGCGCAAGTCAACCAGACCTAGTGATAGGTCCTGAAGTTCAGAGGGAGGGGGGGGGGGGGGGGGGGGGAAGTGTTATGAGAGCAGAGAGAGTGGTGAGAGCAGAGAGGGTGGCGAGAGCAGGGAGAGTGGTGACAGCAGAGTGGTGAGGGAACGGGCGACTGATGAGAGCACGGGAGAGATGGACAGCACAGAGATGTGGGAGGAACGGCCACTGACTCATCATCTTTACATGCTGATTCACCATCTCTTTATGCTGACCCACCATCTCAAAATGCTGACTCACCATCTCAATGTGTTGCTGTGAGTCGTCCACTGCCTCCATGCTCACTGAATGTTGGCCCTGCTCCTGTGGTGTGATCACGGGACGGAGAGGCAGAGGGCCGAACAGAGAACAAAACATTATGTATGAGGCGCATCAAGAATTAACTAACCGCTTCCTGCCCCTGCTCCTGTTGGTGATCAAAAGAGGTCTGGTCAGACATGGTTGAGGAGTGAAGACCAAGGGCAGCGTGTCCAAAGTCCTAATCTTCCCTCGTACCTGTATTCGCCCATCCGCACCTGTATTCGCCGCTACGAATCTCTAAGGTTCGTTGCAGCTTGTATATCATCTGCTCTCAATATGGAATAAATTGCCGACATTCCGACCCCCATAACCACAACCACGTTCGTCCAATTGCTTGATTTCTCGTCACCAACTCTCACCATCCACGCCTCTATTCGCCCATCCTTACCTCCATTCACCCCTTTGCACCTCTCTGCACCCCTCTGTACCTCTATGGCTCGCTGCAGCTTCTGGTTCTCCTGCTCCATCTGGGGTAAAAAACCCCGCAGGCGAGCCAGCACTGGCAGCACACGCGAGGAGAAAGACGCATGGAGATAAGCGGGGAGATAAGTTGGGGGGAAGTCAGAGAAAGACGCAGGGAGATACGCAGGGAAATGGGAGGTTTCACGGTTGGAGATTATTCAGTCAGGTGCGAAGAGGTGGCGCGAAAAATGAGTGGCTGAGGCACGACGAATGTAGTCCGCAAGCGATTTCACGCCAAGAAAGAATTAGGGTTTGGAGGTTCGGGGGTTAAACGTTCAAAAATCCCGACCCCTGAACCCTGACCCTGGGGAATCTAACATATCGCGAATTTGCGAGTAGCACGGTAACGCACCCGAGCTCTCCCCAACCGGCGATGTGAACATAGCTGGCGGCGCTTGCCCCTGCCATGGTGGCTTCTGCTGTTGCTGCTGCTGCTGTTTCTGTGCGCGCGGGTTCGTTTTGCCTGGCTGCGCCAACAGACGCTCCACTGGATCGGGGAGAGAAGAGGAGGAGAGCCGGACAGGTCGTTACGTTGAGTCGACTTAAAGAAAATGCGAAGTGATATAAAAAATCGAACGGTAGGTCAGGAAAGAAATTGGCGGACGGAGGGGTTGAGCATGGTCGTGAAACCACATTTGGAGGTAAAGATATCTACTACAAATAAAAAACAATCTAGGTGACGGCCAAGTGGGAATATGACGTACAGAAAGGCAACGAATCACCGCCGACGGTGAGTAACTCTTTGCTTGCCGCGATTGACGCTGGCGGCTTTCTCGGACCGCTGCGAGCGCCTTCCGTCGAATCGGCCATTGGAAGGAATGCGAAAGAACGAGCTACACTGCGATGCAAAACCAATGGAATGATGGGTGGGTGGTAGTGGGAACTGGGAGGGGAGATAGTAGTGCCAGCAAATGTACGTGTGCTTGTCAAAGGTTTTGACCGCGTGTCCAGCGCATACGTTTTGAACTGAGGTACAGTTCATTATCTGCGGTTTATTTTGTTGCGTCATGGTGCAAACGGTGAAGAATTAAAAACGCTTTGAAACTCCTGATAACGTCTCAGACCACGACGGATGACTGTATAGTACCTGTTAACGTACGCGCTGGACCCGCCCTGAACGTAGGAATGGACTTGGGTGGTTGGGGAGAGGGGTAGCTTTGTAGGAAGTGTAACCAGCTCGACGACTATGCGAGCTGGCGAGGTTTCCTTAATGCGAAAGCGCGACTGTCTGTATAACGTCGTAACCAATGGAGTGGGCTTGGTGGATGAGGGTCCCACCTACCTGCAACCTGGACAGGCGATGCCACGACGGCCGTTTTGCCGACGTTACTTGTCGCAACCAACGCTGCTCTCACAACCCGAAAACAATTCAGGGGCATCACAAACACTTACAGGAGTCCAGGAGGATGACGCTGAAGGAAAACATAGGTTTTGAGCACGAGTAGTGTATATGAAGTTCCCAGTGTGACGCGGCTGAGGATGTGTGAAACTAAGGTCAGAAATAACATCGATGAGGGCTACAAATTAAATTTATGTACTTTTGGCTCTCATTTCGTCGCCCGGCCATATTCGCAAATCTTACACCCCTGATGCCCCCATGTGATTCTTCTCCAATTGGCCGATAGCGGTTGGCAGCAGTTACAGCATCACAAGGGGCGGCAAGAAGCTGTTTCGCCTCCCCTCGTAGCGCCTCGTTTTTGCTCGCATTGTCTCGCCTCCCCTCACCTTGCCCTGCCTCGCCTCCATCGCATCGTATAACCTTACTTCGCCTCACCTCGCCACACATGCTAATCTCTTCGCGTTGCAGGAAAAGTGTTGGCACTTGCCAACCACCGAACTGAAAAATGGAGGGGAAACTGTAGTGTGTAGGGCGAGGCAGGAAGGCAGCACAGAGCAGCATTGCTTTTGCGTTGCTGCGGCACCATGCTTCGTAATTTTGCAAGTTACTTTTGTTCGTGCAGGTATTGTACGTAGTTGTGGCACAATCACCAGCTCGTCTTCGTAACGCATACCTCCTCCCGCAACGTTTCTTTATTTCGAAAGAACGCGGCACGATCATAGATCCACCACAAAGCACAGATTTCGGTTGGCGTTTCTTTTAGATCCACCACAGTCCCCGTCGACCTCGTCACACTCCCCTGGTGTTGAACAGTACCAGGTCCATAAACGCGCAGCTCTTGTTCCAGAATAAGAAGCAAACGATAACAAATGCTTCGGAAATATTAGTTTCCAAACTTTTCTGATTCAGCTCACAGGTATGGCTGCTGCAATCAACTCCGCCACGGCGGAGCATTCACCACTAGCCTCCACCTCTCACTCCCCCGATTGCGCCTTCCGCCACCGCTCCCCCTCCCCATGCGCTGCGACCTGGTCGCTCCCTTTCCGCCACGCGGCTTCCGCTTCCGCCTCCGCCATGCTCCTCGTCCTCCCCGACGGCTCGGCGCGCCTATACACGGAGGAGCTGACCGTCGCACAGCTCGCATGCGACTTCCCCGACCTCGTCGTCAGCTGCACGGGTATCGACTCTGGCGACATGTGCGACGGGGGAGTGCGCGACGATTGCGACTCGAAAGCTCAAGAAAAGGAGTCCAAGCCTCGAGGCGCGTTTCTCTCAGACCACACGGTCTTGCAATTGGGCAGGACGTATTATCTCTCGAACCGCGACGGTCCCTGCTCGGATCCTTCTGCTGCTTCTGGGGCGATGAACGATTCGAGACGCAGTAGCAACCCCAGCAGTAGCAGCTACACTACTAGTACCTCTATTATCGAGGATATACGCAACCGCGAAGATTACTGTACGAGCGGTGCGAGTATTAGCAGCAGCGGAGACGGCAGCAGCTTCAGTGGGGGAAGTTGGCGAACTTTCTCGAGTGGCGACGAAGTTTTGTGTAACAGATCGGATGCTGGTTCCAGTAACAGTGGTAACCTCTCCGCTGTGGTTTCGACCGGAACGGAAAGCAGGCGCTTTTTGTCTAAAGAATGTACGATAGCCTGTCACAGGCGATCACTGTCGCTCGTGTTCGCGGACGCGCAGATGCCTTCGCCACGGCAAAGCGTGCCCTGTAATGTTGGTAACCAGCAAGCTCGACGATCACTCACTCCCACCATTTCGCGCTCAGGCGAGCTTTCGCCCGTTCTCTCTCACATACGATCTGCCCAGCGACCTCCTGCGACAAGCTCCCCCGTCGCAAACCGCCGCCAGTTCCTTCGCACGACCACTCCGATGCGCGATCGTCCCATCGCACCTCGTCACTTGCGAACTCGCACGGAAATCCTCGGTGATGCTCCGATATTGACTGACTCACTTGTGGGTGATGCGCCCATTGCTGGATGGCGGACTATAACGAGCGCTGATTGGGCTTCGCTACAAGACACTCTTCGCCAAAATAAGCTCCAGCTCCAGCGGTCGCAGTTACAGCCGTCGCAGCTACAACCGTCGCAGCTACAACCGTCGCAGCAGTGGTCGCGCGCGGCTCCCCGCCGCAGAAACTTCTCCGCCACCACAGCGGTTTCCCCCGCTGACTGGATGAGCGCCACTCCTTCCGCCGCCTCCCTTCCCCGCGACCGTGTGCGGAGCCCCGGTCGCGCACGAGCGCAGCTGGCGGCGCACGGGGCAAGCGGACGTGGCGCGGCAGCAGCAGGAGTTGTGGGCGGCACTGCAGTCGACCGACCTGTGGAAGTGTGCCACGTGGCAGTGCCAGCTGGCAGGGCACTGAGGCGGTGCGTTTCGCACACGGAGACACGGGTGGGGGAAGGGCGGGTGGTCTGGTGGGGCGGGGAAGCGGAGCAGGCGCAAAGGCAGGGGGAGGCGGAGGCGGAAGGGGGGGAAGCACATCAAGAAAATGACAAGACCAGGATAGACGATATCCAAGAGCTAGAACCGGTTGATTTAGGCAGTGGCGGCGTGGTTAACGGTGGTGACTGTAACGAGGGTGACACAAACGATCTTCCTGACTCCCCTAACAGCACCAGCAGCGGTGACAGCACCGATAGCGAGGCAGATGCTAACGAGGCGTTTTGGGACTCCCCTCGCTGCTTCTTCTCCCCCCTCTCCCTCTCCCTCCCTCGCTCCCCCTTTACTGCGTCCGTCCCTGCTCCCTCGCTCCTCTCTCTCACCAACACTCCCACCAGCAAGTCCGCAGAATCACCCACTACAGTCACGTCTGCTACAGGAACAGGTGTTGTACATGCACCTGTTACAGTCACGTCTCGCCCTGGCCACACCCGCCGTCGCACCATGGATATATGCCTGCCTCTGCCGTCGCTCTCCCCTGCTCCTGCTACAGTCCCTGCTGCAGTCTCTGCCCGGAGAGGATCTTTTTCAGCTGCCCAGTCACCGAAAAAGACTCCTTCGGGCGGTGCAGGAGGTACGGGAGGTGCTGCGGCTGCTGCCTTCTCTCCATCCCCTTTAAGAGCCAACTCGGGTGATGGGATAAGGAGTGCAGCTACACCTACACAGGAAAGCACGCAAAGCTCTAGCAGAAGCAGAGCGCTTCTAAGGAGCATGAGCAGCAGAGAGCGGCAATGCAGCAGGGAGAATATGCCATGCAGCAATTTGAGTGGGACTAGTTCCCCTTGCCCAGAGTCGAATTCAGGGTGTAATGCTGGAAGAAACCCTAGCCCATTGCCCTGGGTGCACGCCAGGGCAAACTCCCTCTGGAATTCATTACCCCAGCCGTCCTCTGCACCATTGGATGCTTCCTGGAAGGTGCAGGAACAGAACACTTGCAATAGCAATGGAGGCAGCACAAGCGACAACTGTGGTAGCACCAGCAGCAGCAACACCAGCAGCAGCAACAGCAGAGCAAGCAGCAGCAGAACGAGCAGCGGCAGCAGCCGCAAGTTCAGTTTGCTCAATTTCAAATCTCTCTCCATCTCCATCCGTTCAGGCAACAACAACTGCAGCAGCTGCACCAACTCTCCTCACTCCCCCTTCTCTCCTTCCCCCTCAGAATCCCCCATCCCAACTGCAAGCTCCGTTTCCTCCTTTGACTCTTCCTTCAATTCGTCATTCCCCCACTCCTCCACTTCCTCCTCCCCTGCCTCTTCCACCTCCTCCCCTTCCTCCTGCTTCTCCTCCCCTTCCTCCTGCTTCTCCTCCCACTCACCCTCCCTCGTGTCCCAATCTCACACACCCAATCCCCACATCCCTCAGAAACATCCCACCCAAAACCTGCTTCCCACAAACCAGCTCCTACCTTCCCTGGCCCACCCCTCCCTCAGTTGCACCTCCCCCACATCCCACCTGGACGCAGTCAAACCCAGCTCGCCCCACTGCAGCCACTCACCACACTCCACCGCATCCAACTCATCCCCCTTGCCCCCTCTGCCTTCACCGTCCGGCCTGCCAGTGCATGTGGGCCGGGCCCCTGTGTCGCCTCACTCGCTCGCCAAGGGGACAGGGAAGGTGGTGAGGGCATCGCGATTCCAGAGGCAGGAAGGAGAGGGATAAGACCCTTAGGCATCTGACTGTCAACCTTGCCCTGCAGAGGCATGAGGGCAGGGCCCCTCTGTCCCCTCACCCGCTCTCCAAAGCAAGGGCCTTGCGACGGGTGAATGATGGGCAGCTTGTCTGTACATAGCATCCTGTAATGTATATGTACTAACTTTAATTGTTAGTAACATTTTGTCTACATATGTTGATACTGTACAGCTACACTTACAGTTATGGTACAGGGTTTGAGAGGAATCTAGGAAATGCAATTTAGATCCATTACATGTTCAAACCCTGGGATATTATTGGTGACGTGACATGCCGCACACGAGCCCCCACCCCACCCTCCTATAGCTCCCCCATCCTCCACGTCCCCACCCTCCCTCTCCCCACCTTGCATCCTCATCGAGTCACTCAAGAACCCAAACCCGGTCCCTCAAATCTACACCCTAGTCTCATGAACCCAGCAGACCATTCCACACTCCCATGCCCCTCCCCTTGACCCTTCATTCTCCATGCCCCACCAGGTAAAGGATGCTTATTGCCCATACCCCTCTCCCTCCTCGCCCTCGTCCACCTCTTTCCCCATACTCCACGCCTCCAGCTCTTCCTCCCCTCCCTCCCTACGTCACCGCTCACTTCTCTCAATGCCCCACCCTCCTAGAACCCAGGCGATCGCTCCACGCCCCGACGCCCCTCCCCTTGGCCCCCCATGCCCCACGTCCCCATCCCCCCTCCCTCTCCGGGAGACTGATGCCCGTACCCCTCCCTGTCCTCCCCCTCCTCCACCTCCTCCCCCATGCTCCACGCCTCAAGCTTTCGAGACAAGGCCCTCAGGCGCTCCCTCTCCCTCTGCAAGTGTGTGCGAGCCAGAGTGATATCCTGAGGGGGGCAGACGAAGAGGGAGGGGGGGGGGGGGGGGGAGAGACAGGCACTGAGGCACGCCAGCGGAGTCCTGTAGTGTTGTACTTTGTTAAAACGGGCAACCCCCCTCCCTCCTCCACCTCCTCCCCCATGCTCCACGCATCCAGCTTCCGAGAGAAAGACCTCGGGCGCTCCCTCTCCCTCTGCAGGTGCGTGCGAGCCAGAGTGATGTCCTGAGGGGGGCAGACACAGGGGGGGGGACGAGTCACACTGAGGAATCACTCTCCCTCCTCCCCCTCCACCTCCTCCTCCATGCTCCACACCTCCAGCTTCGGAGAGAAAGACCTCGGGCGCTCCCTCTCCCTCTGCAAGTGTGTCCGCGCGAGATTGATGTCCTGAAAGGGGCAGACATAGGGGAGGAAAGAGACACTCGTAGGAATCCCTGGGCAGGTGAGAGTGGATAGCTCAATGGTTGAGACCCTGGGCAGGTGAGAGTAGATCGCTAGGCACTGTTGCAGCTGGCCCACCTCCTCCTCCTGCTCCTGTAACTAAACCCCAACTCTGCTAACATCCCTTTTCACCACATCTTACCGCATCAGATTAGACTACACCGCACCACACCATACTGAGGGCAGGTCTGAGAAGATTGCCAGGTGCAGCTGCCCCACCTCCTCCCCCTCCCACTGCACCTCCAGCTAACCCCATCCCCTCTCACATCCCTTTCCACCGCATTGCACCACATCTCATCACACCACACCACACCACACCACACCACACCACACCACACCACACCACACCACACCACAGCACACCACAGCACACCACAACGTATCCCACCACGCCGCACCACACCGCACCGTGGGCAGGTCAGAGTAGATGGCGAGATCATGCTGCAGGCGCCCCACCTCCTCCTCCTCCCCCTGCACCTCCGCTGCCAGCTGTAACAGGGCAGCCATGTCCACGTCAGCACTGTACCCCGCAGCTTCTAGTGAGCCCTGGGAGGGAAGAACGGAATAGAAATTCAAGAAAGGAAAAGAAGAAAGAGCATTCATTGGCCCAGATGTATCAGGGCAGTCATGTCCACGTCAGCACTGTAGCCCGCAGCCTCTAGTGAGCCCTGTGGGAAAGGGAAAGGAGGGAGAGGGAACAAGAGGAATAAAAAAACTCCATTCTTTTGCTGCTGCGCAGGAGAGAAAGAGGGAGAGTTAGAGCGGAGACCCAAAGACATGGAAAACCCCATTTGTTCTCTTCCGCCAGCCATGCCATCACATCCACCTCACTGGTGACGTGGCAATGTTACTGTGCCCACGTCGGCAGGTCGCACGAGCGCCGCCAGGACTTTAACCACTGCCACCATGACATGTCGAGCACGGGCTCCGAGCAGGGGCGCAAGGGCGACTCAAACATCCAGGTGCCGACTCTGGCTGCACGCCTGATAATGAAGTGCCGCCTTTTTTGTGCCTCACTCATTGCTTGGGAAAAGGCAGAACTTCTTTTTCTGGCGTGCAGCCAGATTCGACACCTGGATGTTTGAGTCGCTCGAGAGTGCGCCTGTGCTCGACATGTCATGGTGGCAGTGGTTAAAGTCCGCGCTTGTTCTGTCATGCCATGCCATGCCATCATATCCATTTCACAGGAGAGGTGGCACTGCAACTGTGTCCACGTCGGCAGTACTGCACTTTGCCGCCGCGAGTGAGAAGAATCGGGGAGAATCGAGAAAATCCTCCATCAATCTCCCCAACCCCCTCACCCACCTGAGCACCAAACTCCTGCAGATTTAGTTGTTGCTGCTCCTGTTGAGGCTCAGCTGCTGCCGCTCCAGTTGATGCTCCTCAAACGGCACCCTCTATTCCCCCTTCTCCGCTTATCCTTTCCCTATCTCCCCCATCCACTCATCCACCCACACCCATCCCACTCACGCCCACCTGTATGGCGGATTGCTGCAGGCCCAAAACTCTGCTGCTGCTGCTGTTGAGGTGCCTCAAACATCATTCCCCACCTTCTTCCCATGCTGAACCTCTCCCACTCTCCACCCATTCACCCACACATACCTGAGCGGCAGATCGCTGCAGGCTCAGCTGCTGCTGCTCCTGTGCCGTTCTCCTGATTTTGTCTGCCACGTCATCAGTGGCCCTGCTGATGTCATCGTCCGATGGCAGCTGCGCCTTCCAGCTGGCAGCACAGCACAGGGTGCCACGTGGCAGAGGGAGGTGGAAAAGAGAAGGTCAAGGAGGTTAACAACTACAAATAAATGTAAATCCAACAAGAAAAAACTGCAAGAAAGAACGGAAAGAAGGACGAGTGTGAGAGAAGCTAGATTAAGCTGCTCTTAGCCTTCTCCCCTCACACCCACCCTCACCTCTCGATGCACTCAGCCAGAGCTGTGACCTGCTCCTGTCTTGTCTGCAGGCTGGCCTGGGTCTGCTGCATCCGCCGCAGCAGCTGCTCGCAGTGCCATGCGCGCGTTGAAAGGTGAGTCACTGCGCTGGGAAGGCTGGAGAGAGGGAAACAAGGCATGGAAAGTAAGGGGTGGGGGGGCGGAATGGGCAGGTGTAGCAGGCTTGTGTGGGTCTGCTGCATGCGCTGCAGCAGCTGCTCGCAGTGCCATGCGCGCGTTGACAGGTGAGTAACGGTGCTGGGGAGGCTGGGGGGAGGGGAAAGGAGGCAGGGACGAGGGAGAGGGGTGAATGGGTGGGTGTAGCAGACTGGCGTGGGTCCGCAGCATCCGCAGTTGCTGGCAATGTCAAGCGCGCGTGGACAGGTGAGTGACGACGCTGAGGAGGCTGGAGAGAGGGGAACAAGGCATGGAAAGAAAGAGGGGAGAGGGTGAATGGGTGGGTGTAGCAGGCTCTGCTGCTGTAGCAGGCTCTGCTGCTGTAGCAGCGGTGGCTATATGCACTTACCGTGGTCCTTAATACGCCATGCGTATGGTTAGTAACCTATTGCACACAGCACATGCACGTGAAATCTCACCAGTGTGGGTCCGTGACAGCGAGCAATTGGCAGAGCTCTGCAATCTGAGACACCGCTTCTGTTGTGTCAACGTCACGGAGCTTGATCGCGGAACTCGCCCAACACTGCTGCCAGCACGGCTTTCAGGTGCGCTGCCGGGAGGAAAACAAAAAGGACTCACCAGTGCGGGTTGGTGACTGAGAGCAGTTGGCAGAGCTCTGCAATCTGCGACACTGCTTCTGTCGTGTCAACGTCACGGAACTCGCCCAACACTGTTGCCAGCACTGCCTTGAGGTGCGCCGCTGAGAAGGAAAGAAAGGGAGAGAGGAAGGAAGGAGGTGACTTATGAGTAGACCCAAAAGAGCTCTGCAATCTGAGACACTGCTTCCGTGGTGTCAACGTCGCGGAATTCGCCCAACACTGCTGCCAGCACTGCCTTAATGTGCGCCGCTGGGAGGGAGGGGGCAAGAGGAAGGACGGATAAGGAGGGAATTCAGGCCACCACAAGGGATTCGCAGAATACTGCTGAGAGCACGACCCTCTGACGTCACGTTTCAGGCCACCACAAGGAATTCGACTGACATCGAGCGAGATCCACCCAATGCAGCATCTTCATCGTCACCAGAACCACCTTCAACAGAACCACCTTCAACAGAATCCCCTTCACCAGAATCACCTTCACCAGAAACACCTTCACCAGAATCACCTTTGCTAGAACCACCTTTACGTGAATCAACTTGAGCAAAATCACCCTTCACTGGATTTACTTTCACCAGAATCACATTTACCGATTTTCCTAATATCGCCTTAACAGACTTCACCTTCCGCTCGGTATCCTCGAGCCTGGATCTCCGCTTCCGCCATCATCGGCGACTTAGCGGCGGACGTTGCTACGCTCCGCGCACCCTGATTCCCACCGGCGTTTCCGCCGCCGCTGCTGCTGCTGCCGGCGTTAATCCTGCTGCCAGCGCTAACGCTGTTGCCGGCATTATTGCTGCTAAAATCGCTGGCTCTGCAGCTGCTGCCGCTGCCGCTGCCGCTCCTCGCGCTGTCGCTCAGAGCTAACGAGCAGCCTTCCGGGCTAGAGAAAAGCCTGGTTCTACAGTCACTATCCGCCATGATAGCGTTGCAGTCTCTTGTTCAGAAGGCACAATGACTTCTACCAACACCAAACAAAAACAAGCAAACATCAATCCTGGATCCCAAGCAACAAACGCTGATTCGTCGGGCCTAGTTCGCGACTGTCGCTAAATCGTTCGCAATGTCGTAGACCACGCAAGCTCCGCGACACCCAGACAACCCGATGTTGCAACAAAACAACGCTTCATGCAACTTTCGTTACTGAGTTGTGACTGTCGCCTAGCAGCTGAGAGGGCATCCAGCTTTTCTGAGACTTGTCGCAAACAACACCAAGAACCAAAACTACGTTCGCCCACTTCGCTATGACATGTACGAACCAGTGACATAGGGTTGTAAGCATTCACCCTACTCAGTGCATGTGTATAGTTGTGTTTTCTGTAATTGACAGCTCGTACTCACTTCGTTTCACATTGCGCATCCACCAGAGATACTGTACATGAGATCGTCACGGAAGCATAATGATACCGTATAACAAGAATCAACAGGCCCCAAAACCTTTGGATGTGTCCAGGTAACAATCTGCGACAACATCCAGGTCAACGCAGTCAACGGAGTCAACGCTGCTGCCCTCCTGGATGCCTATTGTGGTGATCACTGCGTGGATGCTGCGAGTGGTTTCCTGGAAGCTGCTGGTACAAATCAAGTGACTGCTGGTTCATTGGCAAATACACGTATCCGGGCGAAGGGGGGTAAGCGGGCAGCAACTGCTGACCTGGCACTGCCATTCCGTGCTCTGCAGGGACCACCTGTGGTCCTGCTGATGCTGCTACTGCTCCTGATACTGCGCGTATAGCTCCTGGTGCTGCTGCTACCGCTGTTGAAGCTCCGGCTGCCAACTCTGAGCCAAATGCCACATGCTGCAGGCTTGCATTTCTACTACCTGTGCTCACGCCTGTGGCCGTGCCTGTAACCATGCCTCCGTCTGTGCCTGTGCCCATACCTGCTGACAGAGCAGGGCTCCTCTGACCTGCCCTGTCGCCTCGTGCAGGGGCGTCACGCCGTGAGGCTTGCACCTGCCCCATCGCCTGCCCTGTTTCCCTGGAATGACTGGAATTGCCAGAATGCCGTTTTGCAGGCCCCCCTGCCTGTGTGCGCGTGTCCCGAGTGGAAGGTCCAACAGACCTTGATACGACAGGCAGTGCTGCTGCTTCTGTGCCAGATCTCACACCAGGTGTCACACCAGGTGTCACACCAGGCGTCACACCAGGTGTCACACCAGGCGTCACACCAGGTGTCACACCAGGTGTCACACCAGGTGTCACAGGAGCAGGTTGAGGAGAGGACATGGGAGGTGGAGAGGAGGCGATGGGAGAGTGAGGGGAGGAGACGTGCAGAGCACTCAACTGGGCCATGTAGTCAACTGCTCCCTTCCCCGCCTCTGCTCTCTCTCCCTCCCTCCCTTCCTGACCAGTCTGCAGCTGCAGCTGCTGCGGCTGCTGCTGTCGCTTCTCTGCCTGCCTTCGTTGCTGCTGCCTCTGCTGCTTCTCTAGCTGCCTCTGCTTCTCGGCCTGCTGCTGCTGCTTCTCCATCTGCCGCTGCTGCTCGGCCTGCTGCAGCCTCTGCATCTCGACATGCACTGGAGACAACACACTGCCTGCAAGTTGCGCTACAGCCGGGTTGTGCGCTACAGCTGACCTTGGCACATCGGTTGGCTTGTGCGCTACAGCCGTATTGTGTGCTACAGATGGGCTATGATGTGCTGGAGTTAATGAGTGTGCTACAGCTGCAGTCGTAGGTGGTGCCCCAGAAGTGTGCACGATAAACTGTCCTTGAACGTTTCCTCTCTCGCATGCCTGTTCCTCCTGCTTCAACTGAAGCTGGTGAAATGGCAATGGTGTAGAGGGATGGGAATGCAGGGGGGCGGAGAGCAGGGGAAAAGAAATGAAGGGTGGATGGGAGGAGAAAGAGAGAGCACTGACCGACACCAGTGGGAGAGGGCAGTGGGAGAGGGCAGTGGGAGAGGGCAGTGGGAGAGAGCAGTGAGAGAGGGCAGTGGGAGAGAGCAGTGGGAGAGAGCATTGAGGGAGGAAAAAAAAGGTTACCGCTGCTTTGTTGCTCCGAGTTATGTCTTCCAGAGCGGCGATGGCCGGGACGAGGCTGGAAAAGTAAGATAATCACCACAGACAAAGGGAAGGTGAGGAGAGAATGGTCAACATTAAGGCGTATAATACAATTAGGTGAATATAACACGAAGGTGCATATTAGACTAAGGTGGATATGAAAGCATGTTAGTGAGGCCAAGGGGACTTGAAACTGAGGTATCTTGAGGTGTCACGAGGAGGGTCACGAGGTGTGTCACGAGGTGTGGTGAAGTGAGATGTACAATTTGTACCCTTGATAATCCTTTTGTGCCTCACCAGGTTTCCATTAAGCGGCACAGAGCTGCCTGGTATGTGGCATGGTGGTGAATCAGCTCCAACGGGTTGGGCTCACAGTGTCTGGTGCAGAGGGAAGGAGAAGTGGAAAGAGAGAGGGAGGGCAGACGGGACGGGAGGGGAGAGGGTGGACGAGAGGTCATGACAGGTATGCCTGGCAGGTGGCATCGTGGTGAATCAGCTCCAATGGGTTGGGCTCGCCGTGTCTGGTAGGAGAGGGAAGGAGAAGTGGAAAGAGATAGGGAGGGCAGACGGGACGGGAGGGGAGAGGGGGGACGAGAGGCCATGACAGGTATGCCTGGCAGGTGGCATGGTGGTGAATCAGCTCCAACGGGTTGAGCTCGCCATGTCTGGGGCAGAGGGAAGGAAAAGTGGAAAGAGGGGCAAGGGGATGAGGGGAGGGGAGAGGGGAGGGCAGAGGAGAGGGAAATGAGAGTCAAAGAAAATCAACTCCATTTGGTTGGGCTCGCAGTGCTGGGTGAAAGGAGAGGGCGAGGGGATGGGAGACGAGAGGGGATGGGAGACGAGAGGGGAGGGTAGAAGAGAGGGGAATGAGAGGTCTTGTCTCGTAAGCCTGGTAGGTGGCGTGGTGGCGTGCTAATTCCAGAGGGTTGGGCTCACTGCCTCTGGGGAAAGGAAAGGGAGAGGGGACATGGGAAAAAGAAAGGACATGAAGGGAGAAGGATGGGAAAGAGAGAGACGGGAAGATACGTGGAAGATGGTGTGGTGGGTGAACCACAGAGAAGTGCCATGGATTTGCAGTCTGTTGTGCGAGGAGAGGGAGACGGGGGTAGAGGGAGAGGAAAGGGGCACGCAGGAGTGCAGAGCGGCACACAGGAGTGTGTACGTACCTGTGTGCATGCTCTCTACAGCCTTCTCATACGCCTCCTTCTCCTCCATCAGCAGCATCCGCTGCAGCTGGGCCAGAGGCGCCACCGCGTGTGCCCGGGGCAGGGAGGGGAAGGCTCGGGCGGAGGGCACCACCCTGATGGGCACCTCCCATGCCGTGAAGTCGGAGGATGGGCTGAGAGGCAAAAGGGGGGAGATGGGGGAGACACGGGAGAAGCAAGAGTGTTAACATATGCAAAAAAGCTGAGGGCACCACCCTGATGGGCACCTCCCATGCCGTGAAGTCGGAGGATGGGCTGAGAGAAGCATGGGGAGGAGGGGAGAGGAGGAAGAGAAGAGAGTGGGGGAAAGGGGCTTAAAGAGCACATTAGTCCAAAGGGGACCATTCTGATGAGGACCTCCCATGCTGTGAAGTCGGAGGATGGGTTGTGAGGGATGAGGAGTGTATGGCAGAGGACATGGGATGGGGGAATTCGGAAAGATAGCAAGGGAATTAAGGGGTTTAAGAAGGGGACGGGGCAAAACAAAAAGGGACAACATAACAAAGGGGCCTAAAAAACCTACGGGGATCACACTTGCAATTGCAAACACGCATGCTCTTGACAACACTAAGGGTATCAGCGCCACTTGCACACATCCTCCACGTCAGACAGCATGACTTTGCACTCATCCACGTCAGCCAGCATCACTTACACGTCATCATCCACAGCAGCCAGCACCACTGCCAGCTCTTGAGGCTCGAGGTCTGAGACAGAGGGGTGTGACGAGTGCTCTCTCTGCACCAAGAGCAGCAAGGTGGTGGAAGGTGGAAGAGTCATAAAAAAATCAGCAGGAAGGGCAGGACGAAATGAGAAAACCGAGTTGAGTTCTTAAGGCGCATAAAAAATCAGCACCACCAATAGCTCTCGAGGTTCAAGGTCCGAGACGGATGGATGGGAAGAGTGCTCCCTTTGGAAGAAGGGCAAAGTTTAAACTGGAGGGGGCAGGAAGGGACAGGAAAGCAGCAGGGGGGAAGGGGAGAGAAAGAGACGGCGAGCAATGGATGGAGGTGGGGCATTGTCCCCCAAAAAGGGGCTGCCAAAGAGCTCCTGCCTGCTACAGACAGAAGGGTCGCCTCACCTAGGGTCTGCCTCACTTGCGCTTCCCCCTTTCTCCTTGTCTGTCTCCCACCTTCAACCATACACCCCCCCTGCTTCGCCCCACCTTGGTGCCCAGCTGCGCCCACTGCCCCCGTGCCGGGGTGTGCCGTGACCGCTGCTCCCGCTGCTCCTTGTCGCGTGCCGAGACAGACTGAAAGGCCACTGCCTGCAACTGACCCGCCTGTTGAAAGAGAGAAGATGAAGGGAGGAGCGCAAAGGGATGAAGAGAAAAGTAAACACTTCTCCCTCCATGTGCTCACACTGCTCCCGCTGCTCCTTGTCGCGTGCCGAGACAGACTGAAAGGCCACTGCCTGCAACTGACCCGCCTGTGTTTGGGGAGAAAAGAGGGGAGGACGAGGATAAAAAGGATGCATGGGGTCAATGCAACGGATAAATGGTGCTCCCACTGGTCTGCTGCTCCTTGTCAGCAGCTGAACCGTGCTGACATGGACTGGCTGGAACGCCACTGCCTGCAACAGACCCGCTTGTGAGGGAGGAATGGGGAGGGAGGGGAGGACTAGGATGGGCAAGCAGGATGCATAAAAGGGAAAGCTCTCTTCCCATGATCACACAGTTCCGTTTTGAGGCGCCTCAAAACTACACAGTTCCTTGTCAGGAAAGCATCTTTCAGGCACCTAAAAGACCCTGAAACAACAAAGATTCGCTAAGCAGAGTGGTTAGAGGAGGATGAGGCATTCACCTGGGCATGCGAGGAGGCGCGGTTGAAGGCGGAAAATATGAGCCCCACGAAGCCCTCGTCCAGCATCTGGTACATGCCCTGTGTGCGCACGTCTGATGGGCAGAGAGCAGCAAGGGGAAAGAGGAGATGGAGAGCGGGGACATTGCTGAAATGTGAGTTGACCAGAGGCGCATAGAGAGGACATGAGCCCCACAAAGCCCTCGTCCAGCATCTGGTACATGCCCTGTGTGCGCATGTCTGATGCGAGGGAGGGAGGCAGCGAAGGGAGGGGTGAGGAGAAAGAGACATTGGGGGGCACATGGGGTGTTTTGAGCCCCACGCAGCCCCTCGCCCAGCATCTGGTACATGCCCTGTGTGCGCATGTCTGATGGGCAGAGAGCAGCAAGGTGGGAGGAGATGGAGGGGGGAGAAATGGCGGTATTGTGAGTTGACCAGAAACACACAGGGGGAATATGAGCCCCACGAACGAAGCCCTCGTCCAGCATCTGGTACATGCCCTGTGTGCGCACGTCTGATGGTTGGAGCAGCAAGGGGAGAGGGGAGATGGAGGGGGGACAAACCACGACAAGAGGATGTGAGGTGAGGCCAACAAAGCCCTCTTCCAGCAATTGGTACCCGTCGTGTGTGCGCACGCCCTTTGCACGTAGCAGCCAGGAAGTGGGTTCGAAGGGGAGAGCGATGGAGGGGGGCATATGGGGAGGCAGGAAGAGGAGAAGGAAGGAAGGAAGGACGGAAAGGCTATGGTGTGCTTTATAGTTCAAGTCAAACAACAGATGAGATGTGAGTGATGTGGTGCACATATCGCACGCGCTTAATACCCTGTGCACATACCGCATGCGCTTAATACCATGTGCCCATACCGCATGCGCTTAGTACAATGTGCACATACCGCATGCGCTTAATACTATGTGCACATACCGCACGCGCTTAATACCAGGTGCACATACCGCATGCGCTTAATACCATGTGCACATACCGCATGCGCTTAATACCATGTGCACATACCGCACGCGCTTAATACCATGTGCACATACCGCACGCGCTTAATACGGTGCGCACATACTGACATAACGACGTACCGACGTGGGATGGATGAACAGTGATGTGTGGGTGCGAGTGGTACCACCCAATGACACGTGTCCTCATGCCAGTGGCTGCTGACATCCTGCAAATAACAGCATGGCATGGAATGACATAGCATGACATGCACGACATGCATGAGAATGGTCAACGTGGTAAACATGTATGATGCCAAGAGCAGGAGCTGGGAGAGCAAGAAAATACATGGATTCATGGGAGAGCATGCATGGACGATAAGAGAGTTACGTTACCAGTCTTATGAAAACCCACTAGCAAGCTCGAGGGTAGATCTAACGCTCAGTGGAAACATATGATATACAATTTAAACAAAAGTAGGTTCCGAGCCAATCGTACCTCTCAGCCTCAGCTGAAGCTGCTGCGAGCTGCTCTGGAGTTGTCTCGACTCGATCTTTTCTCCTGTCTGCCCGAACCTGCGGGGCAGCACCCCAAATTTTTGCTGAGACCACTGGGGTTCGCCCACTGTGGTCGTACTGTAGTTGAAATAGAGGAGGTGGGAGGGGGGGGGGAGTGAATGGGTGAGGGAGAAAGGAAAGAAGTGAAGGAGAGAGTACATATGAAGGTAACGCGAGGAAGGGATGACACTGTAATCTATTTAGGCAATACGAAAATAAACGGTGAGTGGGTGCATCTGGCAAGGGGTGAAGAGAGATGGTGAGCTTGAAATTCCCTGAGAGTGGTTGAGAGAAACGAACAACGGTGAAGAGGGATTGAGGTCCAGAGACGTTAATCAGAACTTAACACAGATGCTAATCACATATGCCTCCTAATGACGAAAAAAAGCCGAAGCAACGTCATCGATAAGAGGCATCAATGAAAGGAGATGCTATAAGAAAGAGGACGCACGTGGATATGACTTTAGAATTGACTCTATAGTCAGCTACGTACATGGATATCACCGAGCAGCAGACCCATGATTTCCTCCGCTTCCGTGGAGAGCGCGTGCGTGGCACACGTCAGCCACACTTCTGACGAAACCACCACCTCCGTCAGCGACATCGCGGCAAATGTAACCAGCTGTCGCGAAACACTTGACGGCGGGTCCTGAGCGTGCGATTACACGTACGAACGCTTACCGAACGGATGTTGATTGCCGTGCGACACTACTCGCAAGCTTTATACATGCTAGTACGTCGCTGAGCTATGTTGCTGAACACTATTCCCCGAAAACGCCATGTATCATGCTAGCTAAATGGCTACGGAAAGCACATAGACTGTCCGAGTGGGATTTGTGGAAATTCGAGTGGACACATGGAAATCGAAAACCGCTTTTTCAATGTTTATACCAAAGAGTTCGCAAACGCCTAGAAGCTACAGTTTACCAAGGGACGACCTGAAGCGAGTATTACTTAGACCTCGATGCAAGCCCCTCCATGCGAAAGGTAGAGCTGGTTTCGCGAAATCGGAGGTGATCTGCCAAACGCCATTGGCTGACTTATTTCAGCCAAACCACCCAGGAGGGCTTGCAGGTTTGGTCTTGTTTCTAATAGCGGAAGCTACTCTGTTATAACGAGTCTTTTCGAACCGCCGGGGCTTTCTGATTAGTCATGTATCGTTACAAGCACCGTCATCTCACGCATCGACTCACGTCCTGGTGTTCCATTTGCCGCATTCCTGGATGTTAGGGACGAAATGCTTTGCGGCGTAAAAATGAATGGGCTGTCCCAAACTTTTTGCTTGCCGAAAGAATGAGCTGCAGGGTTGGTGGAGTACCAACACTCGCACATTCTGATGATGTTTAGAACCCTCGTTAATTCCCTACTGCTCGTAAGTGTTTCGTTACTGAACATTAGAGCAGCGTTGAATGCAACCCGTAAATTAAAATTTGTAGCTCCTCACTGGGTCGATCCTCCCTTACGCCCCCTCTAGTCCTGATCGCTGCGTGGATATCAGCCCCTCTGCGCTCCGTATCAGCCAATGGCAGGGCTGAGACTTTCGCGCTTCGATTTCACCAGCCATCAAACCAAGCCGCGCGAAGCTGACAGCCCCTCCTCGGAAGTTCCCGATCGGAGCAGCCCCTACCGAATTGCCCCTTCGCTGGTTCGCCGCGCTCTACCTCACAGCTTGTCTCGAGCAAAAATTCACATAAATCTACGTTATGAAAATCCAGCAACCATCAGTTCTACCAGCGATTCAACATCTCCCACCATTCAATCACCTTAACTACTGCTGAAGTACTGGCGGCCTCACCTAAACAGGAAATTTTCTACCTCTCCATTCAAGTACTAGCCGCTAGTGGACTCTTGTGAGCTATTTATTTCCAAAGATGGAGATTGCTTGGATGAAAAAGGCTGCGATATGGGCATTCGCTGGACTGGGCCTCGTTCTGGCCGTCATCTCCTGCTGCCAGATGGCCGATAACTATTTCGTCCTCTCTCACCCCGACGCTTGCATTGCTTCATCCAACGGAACCCACTGCGCGACAGAATTTCGCGTAGCGCGACGATCCCTAGGCGTCCTGCCACAGACGCCTGAGCAAGTCAGCGCAGCCATGATCGCAGCGGTCCAAGCGCAAGTCGCGGCGCTTATCGAGGCGGCCGACGAGATTAAGACGAACAACGTACGGGAAGACCATTTCACAAATGTCATGGCGAGGACTTGCGCGCGCCAAGCCACCATCGCGCTGCGCTACCTGGGGCAGGCGGGAGATGCGGTGGAGGCGGGCACGAATCAGCTCGACGTGCCGTACTGGCTGGCTGCCGCCGACACGCAGATCGACAACTGCGTCGATGGCTTCCAGACTTTCTCGCCCGCCGCGCAAGGCTTCCCCGCCTACGTACATCTCGAGGTTCGTTACAATCGTTATTCGAATAAAGAAGCATTCTGCTGCAGATCTCGCAGGTGCTATTTTTCGCAACTAAGGCTCCTTTCAGAAAGGCGTTCTACTACCATGAAGCAACTTCTTAACAGCAGCACTTGTGTACTTTCCTTTTCTGAATCCCCGTCCCCACTTCCTCAGTATACGGCTAAGAAGGCGGGAAATACGCTTGAAGCACTTGTAACCATCACCAACGCCGCTGCCAAAGCCGCCGCTACCAGCGTCGCATCAACGGAGGAGGATGTGGCGCCCGTGCGCGGACGCCGCATGGCCGTCCGATCCAGCAGCTCGGGAAACGGCGCGATGGATTGGCTTGAGGAGGGCTTGTACGAGCAACTGCAGGAGCTCCAAACGAGGCTAAATGCCGAATTCGCCGCTGCCGGCGGGGAGGATTCGGAGGGTGCCTCTATCGAGAGAAGGCAGTTGCGTCATCGCCACGACGACGATGACGACGATGATGATGACGAGGATAAGAAGGATAAGAAGGATAAGGACAAGAAAAGTAATAGCAGCAGCAGTAAGAAGGGCAGCAAGAAGAGCAACAAAAAGAGCAGCAAGAAGAAGGCGTCACCCAACCAGGGTCCGATGGTCGTCAGCGCGTCTCTCGCCGCCAGCGCGACCGTCGGATCCGGATACAAGTCGATCCAGGACGCTGTTGACGCCGCTCCCGGCGGCATGCGATTCGTGATTTACATTCCCGCGGGAACGTACAAGGAGCAGGTTGTTATCTCGACGACGGATATCGTTCTGATTGGTGCGGGCACGGGTAAGACGATCATCACGGGCGACGCGAGCTACGGCAGCGGATCCGGGACGTTCGAGTCGGCTACGGTTGGGGTGGATAGCGACAGGTAATGCCGCCCTTTCCCCTTTCTGCCCTTACCTCCCTTCCCTTTTCTGCCCACTTGTCTCCCTCCCCCCCTTTATGTAATTTCGTTTCTTTTCTCACGCACAGCTTCCCTCTCTTCCGTCTCTGCCCTTGCCCTAATGTACGCACCCACCCGGTAACCACACAACAGGTTCGTCGCCTTCGGGATCAAGTTCGTCAACACGGCAGGCCCCGAGAATCACCAAGCAGTTGCGTTTCGCGCCACTGGCGACCAGACAGCCCTCTTCAACTGCGCGTTCGACGGATCGCAAGATACATTGTATGTGGACGCGGGCCGCCAGTACTACAAAAACTGCTACATCGGCGGCTCGCAGGACTTCATTTTCGGCGACGCGGCCGTGGTTATCGATGCGCCCAAGATTCAGCTTCACCCAAGCCCCTCTTTCGGGACCCTAACTGCGTCGGGACGGGCCAAGGACACCCCGACGGGGATCGTGATTCGCGACGCTGTTGTCTCGGCGGATCGCGGCACGAAGAAGGTGTATCTGGGCCGTCCGTGGAAGAAATGCGCCTTCACGGTTTTCATCAACACCTTTCTCCCCGCGGTGATCGAGAGGGACGGGTGGCTGTCGTGGAACGAGGGCAGCTGCATGTTTCTGGCGGAGGCGGGCAGCAAGGGGCCGGGCGCCGCGGCTTCCCGCGCGGACTGGGTGGACCCTGGGATCATCACGAGCGTCAGCGGATACGACGTCAACACCTTCACGCAAGTCAACTCCTGGCTCCGCCTGTCGCGCTAGGGCTTTCTCTTAGCACACCTAAATGCCAGCGCCAGTAGGGTTAGAATTCACGAGCAGCAGGAGATTCTGTAGCAGTCATGGGCACACCCCGTGTGCCATGGCTGCTGGAGCGCCAAACCCGCCTAGGAATTTTTAGTTTCTTTTTAGATGTAGTTGCTAGAAGGCGAGAAATTTGTGCTGTTCTGTGGAAGGTTCTTAGCAGGAGTTGGTACCTTCCTGTGCATCTGTAGATTTGATTTGTACCAATTTGTGGACTACAAATCACATAGGAGTTCTGTAAGCTTCGGAAGGAGC